CCTCCCCAGGCATATCTGCAGGGGACATAGACCCCCAGCCCCTGCCTGTGTCCAACTATGGTTAAGTTAGGAGTCCCTGTGATGCTTGCCTTTATTCCCTGAAGCAACCTTTGCTGCTACCACTTGCCAGGTGACTCCCTCCTCTGGCTCCTAAGTTCCCTGTAAGCTTAGTGCACTGAGACTTAGGAGGTTTTGTAATTCAGAACGTCACATTTGTTGCTCTTTAAGGCAGTGATTTTAAGGCAGTCCTCAGAGTAAAAATTTAGCAATGTCTGGAGATGTTTGATTATCATGACTAGGGGTGGGCAGTGCTTCTGTCATCTAGTGGATAGAGGCCAGGCGTACTGCTAAACATCCTAATATTTACAGGACGACTTCCCCTGCTTCTCATAACAGGATTAATCCCACCAAATGTTAATAGTGCTGAGGTTGAGAAACAAGGCTTTACAAAAATAACTATTTTCCTAATGCTTCTGCATTCATTTATCCTTTCATTTAAAAACCAATAACAATGAACTTATTTTGTGTTTACTGTGTGCTAGGACCTGGAGAATACAAAACTGTGTAAGCTAAGGACAGAGGTGTTTTCAAGAAACTCAGTCCAGCAGGAAAGACAAATTTTTAATAAAGAACACAGATATACAAATACTGTTTTTTTTTCTAATATGGAGTTTATTGAGCTCTTTCATTGTGCTCTTCCATAAGCTATCTTATTTATTTTGTAACAAAGAAAAGAAGTGGGAGGAGAGAGTTCATTTATGCCTAAAGTGGTTGAAGAAGGCTCTAGAGATGAGGGGATGATTAACTTGGGCTTCAGAGCTTAAGTGCTTTTACACTGCAGAGATGTGGAAGCATGAAAATAAATACTGTATTAACGGTATACTAAACAGCTTGGCAGGGCAGCTCTGACCTCTCTTGCAAATTCAGGGAGACATTGTGCCCATTATAAAACAGATGCCTTTGTTGAGTGGGCACAGTCAGGAGTGCACAAGTTTGTGAGCCCTACCTGAGCTCCCATTGGCCCCTTTGGCTGGGCATTTTGGGCATGCACAACCTGTATGACCATATGTGACGGTCCCATAACTTAGGTACCAATTCATGGGAATAGAGGATCAACAATGGGCATGAGTAGAAATAGGTGTTTTAGCCAGAATGGAAGTATTGGTGATTTTAGGCAGGGGGATGACTTGATTAGGTATTTTAGAAAGAGCTCTCTGGAGGCAGCCTGGAAGATGGGGTAAGAAGCCGGTAGGGTTGAAAGCACTTAATAGGCTAGTGATAGTCATGAGGGCCAGGCCCATGGTGATAGCAGGGAGCGTAGAGAAAAGGGAACAGATTTGAGAGACATTCCAGGAGTAGAATAGATTGGATCAGCTGGTCCAGTGTGGTACCTGAGTGAGAGAGCAAGTCAAAGATAACTCTGAGGAAACCTGGTGGGTGCTGCTGCTGTTTCTAGAGGATGCTATACTGCGGAAGGAGTAGATTAGGAGGCAAGAAAATCAGCTTGGTTTGGGGCATATTGGATTGGATTTGTTTGCAAGATTTCTATGTAGAACTGTCTAGGAGGCAGCTCAGGTTAGGAATCACGAGTTGTCAGCCTAGAAATAGGAATTAACATCTTGCAAGTGATTAAAGATAGTGTTTTTTTGGTTTTTTTTGAGACAGAGTCTCGCTTTGTTGCCCAGGCTAGAGTGAGTGCTGTGGCATCAGCCTCGCTCACAGCAACCTCAAACTCCTGGGCTCAAGCGATCCTGCTGCCTCAGCCTCCCGAGTAGCTAGGACTACAGGCATGCGCCACCATGCCCGGCTAATTTTTTCTATATATATTAGTTGGCCAATTAATTTCTTTCTATTTATAGTAGAGACGGGGTCTCACTCTTGCTCAGGCTGGTTTTGAACTCCTGACCTCGAGCAATCCGCCCGCCTGGGCCTCCCAGAGTGCTAGGATTACAGGCGTGAGCCACCGCGCCCGGCCTAAAGATAGTTTTTAGTTGGCCAATTAATTTCTATTTGTTTTTAGTAGAGACGGGGTCTCGCTCTTCTCAAAGAATGTGAAGAGAGAAAAGAAAGGGTAGAGAACAGAACACCAGTACCTATTCATACTAAAAAGGAGAAAGACCATTGAATTATACTATTAGCTGACATTTATATAGTACAGAACTTTACATATACACTTCCTTAGTGCTCACAATATCTCTATCTGCTATTGCTATCCCTATTACAGGCAAGGAAAGTGAGGTGCAGAGATATATAATTTACCAAGATCATCTAACCAGCAGATAGTAAAGTCAGGATTATGAGCCCAGGAAATCTGGCTTGAGAGTCTGTGCATTTAACTAGATTGTGATGGGGGCTGAGAAGAAACAGGAAGGAGGAAAGCAATAGGAAGAAACAGGAAGAAGGGCGGGGTCCCTGAATCAGGGACAAGTGAGTTTCGGGAAGTAGACAGCAGTATCAGCCTGGTTGCCTGAGAAGAAGCCACAGAAAATGGTAACTGAAGGAAGCATCTCTGGTTGCTTCTGCAAGTACAATCTTAGTGGCATTGGCAGTTTTCTACCTACAGTGTATTGAAAACTTAGTGGGAGGTGAGGACTAGAGTTGGTGTGTGGAGGGCTTTCTTTCAATAAGTTTGGCCTAGACCGGGCACAGTGGCTCACGCCTGTAATCCTAGCACTCTGGGAGGCCGAGGCGGGCAGATTACTCAAGGTCAGGAGTTCAAAACCAGCCTGAGCAAGAGTGAGACCCTGTCTCCACTATAAATAGAAATTAATTGGTCAACTGATACATATAGAAAAAATTAGCAGGGCATGGTGGCGCATGCCTGTAGTCCCAGCTACTGGGGAGGCTGAGGCAGCAAGATTACTTGAGCCCAGGAGTTTGAGGTTGCTGTGAGTTAGGCCGATGCCACAGCACTCTCTCTAGCCTGGACAACAAAGTGAGACTCTGTCTCAAAAAAAAAAAAAGAAGTTTGGCCTACAAGGGGAAGAAAGAGAGTGACAGATTGAGAAGGTAGCAAGGAGCAGGGGAAGTCACTACTGTCTCCAGGGTAAGGGCTTGGTGATGTTTTCTGCTTCTTTGATGTATCTGAAAAAAACTGAAGGTCCTCCAGGCCAAAATTCAGAGGAGTCTGGAGGAACCCTACTTTCAGCCAAAGTTTAGTGTCAATATTATGCCAGTAGTTTGGGCAAGCCTCACATCAGAAAGAATTAAGTCTCATTAGCTGGTATCCAGAATGTAAAACTTCAGTCCTATTTCTTTTGATCCAAAGGCCTGCCTTCTTTCTTTATTTTCCTTACTGTAGTGCCTTGACCACAGATAAGACCTGGTGCAGTCATCCCTTGGTTTCTGTGGGGGATTGGTTCTAAGACCCCCGAGGATACCAAAATCTGTGGATGCTCAAGTCCTTTACGTAAAATGGTATAGTATTTGCATATAAACTATGCACGTCCTTCTATATACTTTATTATTTATTTATTTATTTTTTGAGTCAGAGTCTCACTCTCTTGTCTGGACTAGAGTGCCGTGGCGTCAGCCTAGCTCACGGCAACCTCAAAATCCTGGGCTTAAGTGATCCTACTGCCTCAGCCTCCCAAGTAGCTGGGACTACAGGCATACGCCACCATGCCCAGCTAATTTTTTCTATATATTTTTAGTTGTCCAATTAATTTCTTTCTATTTTAGTAGAGACGGGGTCTCACTCTTGCTCAGGCTGGTTTCAAACTCCTGACCTTGAGCAATCTGTCTGCCTCGGCCTCCCAGAGTGCTAGGATTATGGGCATGAGCCACCATGCCTGGCCTCTCCTATATACTTTAAATCATCTTTAGATTACTTATAAAACTTAATATGATGTAAATTCTATGTTTTCAAAAATAGTTATTGGCCGGGGGCAGTGGCTCACGCCTGTAATCCTAGCACTCTGGGAGGCTCAGGCGGGCGGATTGCTCGAGGTCAGTTTGAAACCAGCCTGAGCAAGAGGGAGACCCCGTCTCTACTATAAATAGAAAGAAATTAATTGGCCAACTAATATATATAGAAAAAATTAGCCGGGCATGGTGGCGCATGCCTGTAGTCTCAGCTACTCCGGAGGCTGAGGCAGGAGGATCGCTTGAGCCCAGGAGTTTGAGGTTGCTGTGAGCTAGGCTGACGCCATGGCACTCACTCTAGCCTGAGCAACAAAGCGAGACTCTGTCTCAAAAAAAATAATAATAATTGTTATACTATATTTTTTATTTGTTTTTTTCTTTATTGTATTATTATTTTTGGGGGTTTTTTTGCAAATATTTTCAATCCCTGGTTGGTTGAATCTCTGGATAAAGAACCTGCAGATATGGAGGGCCAACTCTATCAGTTTTGTATTGCTATATAACAATTTACCTAAAATTTGTCAACTTAAAACAAAACCTATTTATTATTTCCAGCTCTTTAGGTCAGAAGGCAAGGCAGGCTCAGCTGAGTTTACTATTTAGGATCTTCCCAGGCCAAAGCTAAGGTGCTTTTAGGGCTGGGCTCTTATCTGGAAGGTCTGGGGAGGAGTCTACTTACAAACCCATTGAAGTTGTTTGTAGAATTCATTTCCTTAAGGTCAGCCCGGGCATGCTATCTAATTATATTCAAAGTCCTGGGGATTAGGACAGTAAATCGTTGAGGTCATCTTGAAATTTGGACAAGCACAGACCTGTTTATTAAAGGTATAACTCTGACCAGTCACTGAGAGGGGCTTCCTGCAGGGTCCAAGAAGTGGCCTGGGTCTTCCCCAGTCTCCGTTTCTCTCCCATCACTTGAATGTTCTGGGGGTGTCCAGGCTCACCCCAGAACATCCTTTGGTAAGCTTACAGCGGGATTCAGGTTTGGAGTGTTGTAGAGGATGAAGCTGCAGAAGTACTTGAAAGTGGGGAAGAAATCTCTGCAGCTGCTCCCCTGGAGATGTCCCCAGGTTCCTGGGAGTGAGGGGAGGACAACTTGCAACTTTACTGGTTAATAATGATTTTCCACCTTTCAGGATCTTCTGCAGAAATACAGGTCACCGTTAGATGGAGGTCTGTGTGCTGCCTTGGCCTGGGATGGCTAGAGAATCAAGGGAAAGCACAGCACGGGACACCCCATCTGCAGAGGACCAGATGAGGCATCTGGTCATCAAGGTGGAGAAGAAAGAAGCCAGTTCGCCTGGCAGCCCCGCTCTGGGCTCGGAGTATTCCCGCCAGCGCTTCCGAGGCTTCCGATACCTGGAGGCTCCGGGGCCCCGCGAGGCGCTGAGCCGGCTCCGAGAGCTCTGCCGACAGTGGCTGCGGCCTGAGATGCACAGCAAGGAGCAGATCCTGGAGCTGCTGGTGCTGGAGCAGTTCCTGACCATCCTGCCCGGGGACCTGCAGAGCTGGGTGCGGGAGCAGCATCCGGAGAGCGGGGAGGAGGTGGTGGTGCTGTTGGAGTATTTGCAGAGGCAGCTGGATGAGCGGATGCCGCAGGTAGAACAGGTTTAGTATCTGAGAGCTTCCTGAAATCTCAAGATCAAAGTGAAGGGCATTCTTGTAAGATCCAGGAGTTCTCCATTTCTTTTGTACCGTAAACCTCTTTGGTAGCAAGGTGAATTCCATGGACTCCTTCTCATAATAGTATTTTTTTTTTTTTTCTTTTGAGACAGAGTCTCGCTTTGTTGCCCAGGCTAGAGTGAGTGCCGTGGCATCAGCCTAGCTCACAGCAACCTCAAACTCCTGGCTCAAGCGATCCTACTGCCTCAGCCTCCTGAGTAGCTGGGACTACAGGCATGCGCCACCATGCCCGGCTAATTTTTTCTATATATATATTAGTTGGCCAATTAATTTGTTTCTATTTATAGTAGAGACGGGGTCTCGCTCTTGCTCAGGCTGGTTTTGAACTCCTGACCTTGAGCAATCCCCCCCCTTGGCCTCCCAGAGAGCTAGGATTACAGGCGTGAGCCACCGTGCCCAGCCTCATAATAGTATTTTTAAATACATAAAGAAAAATATAAAGGATTACAAAATAACTCAATTATTGGAATACAGTTAGCAAAGTATTAAGCAAACTTGTTATAAAGTTATATATGTGCTTTTAAAAATATTATTTATTTATTTTGAGGCAGAGTCTCACTCTGTTGCCTGGGCTAGAGTGCTGTGGTATCAGCCTAGCTCACAGCAACTTCAAACTCCAGGGCTCAAGCAATCCTTCTGCCTCAGCCTCCCGAGTAGCTGGGACTACAGGCATGCGCCACCATGCCTGGCTAATTTTTTCTATGTATTTTTAGTTGGCCAATTTCTTTCTAGTAGAGAGATGGGGGTCTCACTCTTGCTCAGGCTGGTCTCGAACTCCTGATCTTGAGTGATCTACCCGTGTCAGCCTCCCAAAGTGCTAGGGTTACAAGCGTGAGCCACTGCGCCCGGCCTTTTTTTTTTTTTTTTTTTTTATTAATGTACTAAATAATAAGACCTAGGGACAGGGCTAATAACTGAAAATTTCAAAATGGTGATAAGTACAAATGGCTTTTGACTATATTTGCCTGGTTGTAATGTGATGAGCATCTGGAGTTTCTATTGGTGACAGAGTCCTGGGTGCTGCTTATGCCACATTGGTTTGTTGCTTCCATTCATAACTGAAGGAAATGATAAATTTCTCCTAGAGGCTGGTTAATATAAGAGTCGTTTTTTTCCTACCAAGTTCATGGACCATTTGGTAGTCAGTCCATGGACTACTGGTTATGAACCTCTGGAAGAAAATGGGCTGATTTTTACCTCCATCTTCTTCTCTGTTTTATGAGACTGTTTCCTCCTTGTGTCATCCCATGTTCTTGTCCACATACCCTCGGAGAACATGTGACCAGAGCCTTCTCTCTGGTGATCAGGAAACCAAGGTTCTTGACTTGGACCTTATTGAACACAAGCCATGTAACAATGGAAAGTCATTGCGAGTCTTTTAGCTTCATTTTTTTTTTTTTTTTGAGACAGAGTCTCACTTTTGCCCAGGCTAGAATGAGTGCCGTGGTGTCAGCCTAGCTCACAGCAACCTCAAACTCCTGGGCACAAGCAATCCTACTGCCTCAGCCTCCCGAGTAGCTGGGACTACAGGCATGTGCCACCATGCCTGGCTAAGTTTTTCTATATATATTAGTTGGCCAATTAATTTCTTTCTATTTATAGTAGAGATGGGGTCTCGCTCTTGCTCAGGCTGGTTTTGAACTCCTGACCTCAAACAATCCATCCGCCTCAGCCTCCCAGAGTGCTAGGATTACAGGCGTGTGCCACCGCGCCCGGCCCATTTTTGATAAAAGATGTGGGAAATATTGAGCTGGATATTAGAAAGTAACTTGAAAACTGTAATTTAACTATAAATGTCTGGAAGGAAACTTGCATTTAATGGGGACATACCGTGTGCCAGGTCCTGTGTTAGGTGATTTCATATACTGTGATCTTATTTCCTGGTCTCCCAAACCCCATAAACTAGAAATTATTATCCTCATTTTTCAGATAAGGAAAGGTAGTAGTGTTCTTTGAGTACTTAGCACCACTTTCCAAAGGGTTATCATAAAAGCACAAATGCATATATGAGGGAACATAGGATAATGGTTAAGAACATGGGCTCTGAAGTCATTGTGCCTGAGCTCTCATCCTAGCATTGCCACTTATTAACTGCTTAAACTGGCTGTGTCTTATTTCTCCCATCAGTAAAATGAGGATAGTAATAGCATCTCCCTTATAAAATAGTTGTTGTTTGTGTTAAATGAGTTGATATTTATAATGCTGTTGGAAATACTGCCAGACACATAGTGCTATGGAAATATTTGATGAATAAATGAAAATAAAAATAAATGACTTCTAGGTCCTAGGTGGTGACGAGGGGCAAGAACTGCTCTGTTGCAAGATGACAGTGTTGACACCACCTCAGGGGTCACAAAGTAGCCAATTTCAGCCAATGAAGGCTCTACTCAAGTCCCAGCCCTTACAAGACAGAGGTGAGGATTATCTTCTTAGCAGTATAAATTCTATAGACGTCATCCAATTTCATTTAAGGACCCCCTAAAAGATAATTGACAATTGCTTTATATGCCCATCAGAGATTGACTCTAATTTAAGACTGGGACTAAAAGGGAAATTGCAAACACAATGGTAGAAAGCTGTCACAACCAAGACTGGACATAGTAAATAAAATTTTACTAAAATTTGGGTTTGGAAAGATTTTTTTTTTTTTTAATATAGTCTCATTCTGTTGCCCGGGCTAGAGTTCATGGCATCAGCCTAGCTCATAGCAACCTCAAACTCCTGGGCTCAAGTGATCCTCCTGCCTCAGCCTCTTGGGTAGCTGGGACTACAGCCATGTGCTACCATGCCCAGCTAATTTTTTCAATATATATATATTTTTTTTGAGACAGAGTCTCGGTTTGTTGTCCAGGCTAGAGTGAGTGCCGTGGCGTCAGCCTAGCTCACAGCAACCTCAAACTCCTGGGCTCGAGCGATCCTTCTGCCTCAGCCTCCCGAGTAGCTGGGACTACATGCATGTGCCACCATGCCCGGCTAATTTTTTATATATATATCAGTTGGCCAATTAATTTCTTTCTATTTATAGTAGAGACGGGGTCTCGCTCTTACTCAGGCTGGTTTTGAACTCCTGACCTTGAGCAATCCGCCCGCCTCGGCCTCCCAAGAGCTAGGATTACAGGCGTGAGCCACCGCGCCCGGCCTCAATGTATTTTTAGTTGTCCAGTTAATTTCTTTCTCTTTTTAATAGAGACGGGGTCCACTTTTGCTCAGCCTGGTCTCGAACTCCTGAGCTCAAACGATCTGCCTGCCTTGGCTTCCCAGAGTGCTAAGATTACAGGCATGAGCCACTGCGCCTGGCCAGGTTTGGAAAGAATTGATTCTCCATTCATTTAACACAATTATGGAGGCTTCTAATGTAATAGCCAGTGGTGTTGGCATGGAGGATAGAGCTGTCAGTGAGACAGTCCTTGCTCCAATGGAGCTTATGTTCTAGAAGGGAAGATGGCAAATAAACACATTAATATTATAATTTAATTTTAGATAGTGTTAAGTCCTATGAAGAAAATAAACAGAATTTGTAAAGCCAGCCAGACTATATAGATTGTAGGACTATTGCAAATTAAAGGATATAAATCTTCTAAATTTGTTATTAAAATAACATGAGATTCACTCCATAGGAAATGGGCTGTATGTTCTCAGGTGTCCTCATCCCTGAACATGCATGCAAGTTCTCAAGACACACAACACTGGGATACTCCAGCCAACATGCAATCTTTATTTCTCAACAGAGATTCTGGCCTGAACCACCTGTTTTGTGCCCCCTTTTAAGTTTGCTTCCTATAAGGAAACCTGAAGTTCTTTACTTTTCTCTATTGAATCTGAACAAGTTCTATACAACCAGACTTCTAGTTCTGTCTTGTTAGGCCCAGCCTTGTCTGACTCCTCTTAGCTTTTCAAAACCAAAGCAGAAAGCACCCTAATAGCTACTAAGGGCATATTAACAAAAATTGTGTTTTTCCCTCTCCCTGGCAAAATTCAAGAGATCTTCAAATGAAAAGCTTTTTTGTTTTCTTTTTATGTACCTTTCATTTCACCAATGCTAACGAGTTTCCTGCCTTTTTGTGTGGTTTTTGTATATATACAGGGCACACGGAATGTCTTTAGGCCCTAGAATTGGGACATTAGGAATCAGTTGTTCTAGAAGGGAATACACTCCTGTCTAAACTTGTTCGGCAGGCATTTATTAATCCAGTTTTTGAACTGAGATTCTACAAGGCAGGGAGGCTGCATGCCAGGGTAGAGCTCATCCATAGCTTCTTTCCTTCTTAGTTCTCCAGGTTCCTGGGCTTGCTCAGGGAGGGTGCTGCAGAGAAGACACAGTGGTAGCTGCCAGGCTCACTCCAGAGTCCCAGGTGAGCTTGAGGCCCTCTCTGTCCCTCAGTGTCATTCACTACTGTTGCACTTCTGTGAAGACATTTTCCCCCTAGCCCCTGACTCCCCTCGATCCCCATCCCAGATCCTTCACACAATCCCAGATAGGATTTTTTTTTTTTTTTTTGAGACAGAGTCTCGCTTTGTTGTCCAGGCTAGAGTGAGTGCCGTGGCATCAGCCTAGCTCACAGCAACCTCTAACTCCTGGGCTCAAGTGATCCTACTGCCTCAGCCTCCAGAGTAGCTGGGACTACAGGCATGTGCCACGATGCCCGGCTAATTTTTTATATATATATATCAGTTGGCCAATTAATTTCTTTGTATTTATAGTAGAGACGGGGTCTCACTCTTGCTCAGGCTGGTTTTGAACTCCTGACCTCGAGCAATCCGCCCGCCTCGGCCTCCCAGAGAGCTAGGATTACAGGCGTGAGCCACCGCGCCCGGCCCCCAGATAGGATTTTAATTTTCTTATCTATCCCGAAGTTGTTTATCCCTAAATTCATTTAGGTACCCACTTAAGAGGCTTTTCCTGTTTTATTACTAACCTGGGGGGTTGTCTCTGATTCCCAGATTTTCTCTACTCCATCTCTTTGTTCAGTCCCTTCCTCAGTGGGATTATCTATTATTTTAGGGGCTGCTGAAAATGGAAGATGTGGCCTTGACCCTTACACCTGAGTGGACACAGCAGGGTTCATCTCAGGTGAACCTCTATAGAGATGAAAGACAGGAGAACTGTGGCAGCCTGGTTTCCCTGGGTAAGACCGATGGGCTTAAGATTTCTTGGCATTCTTTGTATATTGGAACCTATTGGGATGTTAAGAGCTGTTGTGCCCCATTATGTTTGGATTCAGAATCACAGTTTCTGAAAGCCTCTTCCTCACTGGCTCCTTCCCCCTTCTGGCCTTGCTTGCTTCTCTGCCCTGCCAGAGTGCTGGTCAGCTACAGTGCGATGAAGCAGATACAGCCCTAGTACAGGTCTGGGTCATAATAGATGCTCAATGAATGTTGATTTCCTCCTGTCCCCTCCTGTTCCTGGCTCTGACAGAGGAGGAAAGCTGAGGGGCCTCTTCAGGAAACGGGCCATGGAGTCAGAATGTAGGAGCTAGAAGTGATCTTAGACCTCGACTACAGCCCCTGCCCTCAGAGATGAGGGTGCGGAGGCGCAGAAGACTGCCTGGCTCGTGTGAGGGCACACAGCTCGTTGGCAGCACAGTGGGGGCTCTTGCTCAGAACCCCCAGCACTGAAGCCAGTTCTCTTTGGGGACCCTGGCTCTGCCTGGGGCACAGTTAAAGATACTGCCCATATCATTGATCAGAGACCAATTTTTGAGTCTTAACTTTCACTGTTTCTTGCAGAATGCTTCAGAAATCCTCTACTTGCCCTGTCTACTGTGTCGCCTTCTGCTCACCCTTTCATCATTTCACCCCAGGTGTACGGCCCTGCTCCACTGTTCTTAGAGCTTAGAGCTGCCACATGGGTCCCTTACACCATCCTGGGCCCTCATCACCTTCCTTCCACTCCTCCATTCCCCGTTTGTACACTTCCAATGGCCCCACTCCCATTCTCAGGGCTCCCTCCTCCCAGCACTCCCGTTCTCCCCCTTTATTCCCGTCTTCTTTCTTGTACTCAAATCCTTCTCCATGGCATCTGTAGACTCTGATTCTTGCCTCGTGGTCCTTGTCACAGAGTTCTCCCCCTGTGGCAGGGCAGAACTGACAGTTGCCGGCCATTTGATGTTTCAGGTGATGAAATACAGCCTAAGATCAGGGACTTGCCTCCAGCTGAGGAGCTTCCAGGAAAAGAGCCTGGGCAGAGACCGTGCCACCTGGGTGAAGACACTGCCCAGATGCCTACATGTGCAGAAGCTGGTGAACAGGAGGGCAGGTTACAAAGAAAGCAGAAAAATGCCACAGCGGGGAGGCGGCGGCACATTTGCCATGAATGTGGAAAGAGTTTTGCTCAGAGTTCAGGCCTGAGTAAGCACAGGAGAATCCACTCTGGTAAGAAACCCTATGAATGTGAGGAGTGTGGCAAAGCCTTCATTGAGAGCTCTGCCCTTGTCATTCATCAGAGAGTCCACACTGGTGAGAAGCCATATGAGTGTGAAGAATGTGGCAAGGCCTTTAGTAACAGCTCAGACCTTATCAAACACCAGAGAACCCACACTGGGGAGAAGCCCTACGAGTGTGACAACTGTGGGAAGACTTTCAGCCAGCGTTCCAGCCTCCTTGAACATCATAAAATTCACACTGGGGAGAAGCCATACCAGTGCAACATGTGCGGCAAAGCCTTTAGGCGGAATTCACATCTCCTGAGACATCAGAGGATCCACGGCAATAAAAATGTTGAGAATCCGAAGTGTGGAGAGGCCTGGGAAAGTCAGGGTAAAACGAAAAGCCAGTGGGACCACATGGAAATGCCTGTGTTTTATAAATGTAATGAGTGTGAGAGAAGTTTCACTCAGAATACAGGCCTTATTGAGCATCAAAAAATCCACACTGGTGAGAAACCCTGTCAGTGTGACCCATGTCGAAAAGGCTTCACCTGAATTTCATATCTTGTTCAACAGAGAAGCCATGTTGAGAAAAAAAATCCTATCACAGTGACCCATGCTGTACATGCCAAAGTTGGTGCTCATGCATCATTGAACTGAAGCTGCCTTGGAGCCCTGACTATAGAAATTATAGGTTGAGGCTTTATTTACCAGCATACATCATCAGATGTTAGAAAATATAGAGGCTGGCTGAGATGATTTATTTTCTACATTGTAGAAGATGATTGGAACAAAACCTTATTTGATAGGAGGCTGTGGGAGAGTTGTCTAGAAGTATACCTGAAATGGTTTGTTCCCATCCATTGGAATTTGATGGGCATGCCGACTGGCTGCTTGCCCTCAACCAGCACTTTATGACGTCTACGGGGTAGATGGTTGTGGTTCAGGGGCTGCTGCTCTGACTATTCTGTTTGACTATAATGAATCCTCCACAGTTGATCAGATTCACAAAGTCTTACATTCCCCTCTGTGCCTTGTACACAGGTGCTAAACATTTATTTAATGTACCGGTGAGATTACCTTCATAGCTCTGAAAATCCAATATGGTCTAGATTTCTGAGGAATTTCTCACCAAGGTCATCTGTGCTGTGTCGTTCTCTGAGGTCCTAGATTGTGCCTCAGTCTAGTGCATTTATTTGCCAAGTACACAGGATTGGCAGAGCAGAGGTGAGGATGGGGTTGTGATAGAAAGAATCTACATTTCTTTACCAGACTAGGAATTCTAGTGCAAATGCCTTAGATATCTTTTCTGTCATTAAACCATATCATTGTGAATATGTGCCATCCATGGAATTCTTTTCTTTAGTTACTGTTTCCCTGTGGTTAATTTTGATACTTTTTAGAAAGGACAAAACCTTCCTATTCAGTCAGTGTAAAAGTCAGTTATCTATTTGGAGGCTTTGTTGGAATATTATATTAAAAAAAAATAATTTAAAAGAAAGGAAATTGCTTTTTTAAAAAAATAAACAACAACAACAAAAAGTCAGTTATCAAGTCAGAATAAAATGATAAATTTTCTAATGCTCAGCATCTCACTTCTTGTCCTTTACTTCTCTTGGGCCTAACCAAGTGCCCCCTAAAGCTATAGACACTATCTTCCCTTACCCTACCACCCAATGCACACTGTAAACTGCATCAAAACTTACCCTGCTAAGTTCACACTTTGCCCAGGTCAGTGGATTTGAACTAAATATCTAAAACAAATATTACTTACGGTTTCAGAACTCTATTACCAGTGTAACAGTCTTGCTCTTATATATTGATTCCCAAATCACCTGTGTCGTAACAGCTCCTTAAGGATTCATGATGAGAACTTTAACCATCAATTTACCTCTTCAGGTTATCTACTTTTCATTAAACATACTTTGTAGACCATCTTTTTTAGTTTTCTCATCCATCATGATAGTCAAAATTTCATTTGTGTGAATTCAAGTGAGAAAACATTTCTTAGTCAGCAATACATTAGTATTTGTTGTGTACGTATCAAGTGGAGTTGTTTCTACAAAAGTTATTTCAGAATTATTGCTCTCCTGCAAACTTTTGTTAGTCTATCCCTTCTCCTTTTTGTAGAAATGTGCTTTCATTATTGCATTTACTCAGATTTCTCACTTGGTTTCTGGCACCAACAGTCTCTTCCATATTTATAATATCAGTCTAAGACTCTGGAATTCAGATATAGCAAGATTTTCTGGTCACTTTTCATAATTAATGATTTTACCATTGTGATATATTTTCCCTTGCTCCAGATATTTTGTTTATCAGGAATTGAGTTATCCAAAATCCTTTACGAATCTATCCGAGTCCCTGTTTTTATGCCACTTTTGAAGGCTCGATACTTCAAAGTTTTCAGGGATCTAGGGTATACAAATCTAACAAATCCTAATGTAGGTCATTTGTATTACAGTAATGAACCATATGGTTACTTTGAATGAATTTTTTTTTTTGCACAAGATCAACTGTTTATTGCTTTTTCCTAAAATACTATACATTTTAAAGGAACTAAAAAGACAACAATTTTTGGTAAATCTGTAGCATAGGAGTGAGGGTTTCTGCTGGTAAGTTTCATGACAGACACAGACACACATCCACTTTCAGAGCAAGACGCCGAGCTTGCTGGAAAGGGCAGAAATGCATAGCTCGTGATGGCGGCAGGAGCGGCACCTCGTCTGAGTTACATAAAATAGAATCTTGCCCGGCCCCACCCGCCTGCCACGTGACCACAGTGTAGCTCTGGCCACAGCACCCCTGGCTCTCTGGCGACTAAGGACATTCAGAGAGGCCTGTGCTGTGGGTGAGATCCAGCTTTTGTTTGCCCACAGGGAACACAGATGGCTGGGAAGCGTGCGACGGGTGCAAAAACACGGGCGTTTTACAGTGTTGTGCTACAGGCCCCCCACGTCTGCGCCTGGGGGCAGGGCCAGCGGCCAGCCAGGCCTGTGCCTGCATGCCGCAGACTTCACGCACTTTACAAATGAAAGCCACTGTCAAAAGCTGTCAAATCTCATTAAAACAGTAGACAAGCTTTTTAGATTTCTCCGGACACAAATAATATACACAGATGCGTTTGCTTGAAAAGTTAGTCTTCTTACTTTTTAACCTTCCAACTCACTGTTAAGACTGTTAATTTGTAAAAGAGTAAAGTTTTAAGCAAGGTTAGAGTGACAGTTTTTAAATATGGCGATTTAGGGAGCACTGCGTACGGCTGTATCCGACACTTGCGTTCAGACGCCGGAGCACAGAGGGCGCGGGGAGCCCGTGACACGCGCCCACCTTTCCGCGACGGTCTCCCGCCGCTCACCCGCGCAGAGGCGAGGCTGGGCAACAGCGTAGCACACAACGGAGACAGCGATTCCTGGAGACTGGTGCCCATCCATCTGTGTGGTAATTTATGTATGAATGAATGGAAGAACAGGTATAAAAAAAAGTATAACTGTATACAGCCTTTAAATTAAAAACCTCAAAATCTTTACTCAGAGAATGGCATGTAAGTTTGTTCATTTAAGTTGCAAGTGACAGGACTCGCCAGAGAAAGTGATCAGTGAACTAGAATCAGCGTAACCCAGTGACTGCGAGGAGAGGAGACACGGTCGAGAGCATACAGATCCATGATAAGCCAGCGACGCGGCGGGCGGCGGCAGGGCCGGCTCCTTCTCTGCTGTTCCGCTCAGATCCTCCAGCTGCACTTGGAAGGGTGCCGAGTCCCCAGTGAAGTGACCAGCTCATCCGCCTGCCAGGGACACCCTGAAGCCAAGAACAATGGAACCTTCATCTTCTGCGGGAACACGAGTGGATGCCCACGTGGCCGGCTAGAGGCACCGCAGCTCCTGGCCTGCCACCTCTGTCCGTCTGCTGGCCTGCCCCATAGCCTGTCACTGGATCGCCTCCACGTAATTCGCAGGGTACAGGCCAACCTGCCCACTGTCCGAGCGTCCCTTGCACCAGCCTTGCTCATCTTCATCCTCCATCTTGGTCAGGTCATCCCCAGCCTTGAAGCTCAGCTCGTCATGCTCCTGGCCCTCGTAGTCATAAAGGGCCTGGACTCGCACTTCCATCCCTGAAGTGGTGTCCTCGTCAAGCGGGTTTGAATCTCCGTTGGCATCCGTGGAGAAGAAGGGGTTGTTGGACTCATCATCTGACCAGTCGGTGGGGTAGCTCTGGGTCTTCTCGAAGCTGCTCACATTTTTGGTCTTAATGTCCTCCTTCTCACTGACGGTGCTGCCTGTGTCGTCCTCGTCCTCGAAGGGGTTGTAGCTGGACTGTGACTGCATGGATTGCACAGGGTTGCTCAGGACACTAAGGTTGCTGCTGGGCTTGTTCTGCAGAGACTGGTCGCCTGTCTGGTTGATGCCTGTCAGGGTGACACCGTCAGCAGTCTTCTTCTCTCTCCGGCTGAGAGTTCGATTCAGGTCTGCAGACCACTCCTCAAACTGCGACCAGTTCATGGCCATGCGGGGCCCATGATTGGCTCTGAACCACCTCAGGTCCTCCATCGCGTCGGCTGCCCTGATGCTCTGCTCCAGGTCGCGGTAAATGGTTTTGTAGCTGGCCACATTGGACAGGTCTAGGTGCTTCTGAACCTCCAGCAGAACCTCCCAGAAGCACAGGCGCTTCTCCTCAAATTGCTGGCACTGTTCAAACACCTGCTCCATGTTCGCCATGTACTGGGGTGTGCCCTGGTCAAGCTCCTTCAGGGACTTCTCATACTTCTCTTTGGTCTTAAGGACATCTTGCTTGCATTTTTCTACTTTGTCTTGCAATTTCTTAAGCTGTTCAGGGTTGAGGGACAGGTCTGCTTTGCTGTTGGCCTCTCATGAGATGGCCCACTTCTCCTCTTTGCACGCTGTGTGATGGGCTTTCTTTGCTGCCTCCACCTCTTTCAGCTTCTTGGCCCAGGGCTTCTGTGCCTTGCGAAAGCCGTCCTCAGCTTCCTTGGTCTCCTTAAAGCCCCCCATCATCTGCTTGTGAAAGGCTTCCTTCTGCCAGTGCTTGATTTTCTCAAAGTCTTCATTCATCAGCGAGGCCTTCACCTCGAGGTGTAGCTTGCTCACCCTCTCTGCCTCGTACATCATGGCCATCTAGGCCTTCTCCACCGTCCCATATTGTGGCTCCTTCTCCACAAGCTGCCTCCAGCGCCGGGCCTACTTGGTGAGCTGCTGTGCGTACGCCTTCTCAATGCGTGCCCATTCGTGCAGGCAGTTCATGAGGTCACCGCACAGGCAGTGGCCATCGTCAATCCGCTTCACGGTCCGCTTATAGTTCCCAAACTCCCAGAAGCTATCGCTGGACAATTCTACTCCAACGGAATCATCATACATGACAGACATTTCTTCAAAGGGTGAAGGAGCAGCAGGGAATGCTTAGATTCAGGGATTCAACTTCGGATGCTCAATATCCGTAGATAAACCATTTGCGAGCTCCTGGATTAGATCAATTGAAGAGCAGCCTTTTATAATCCATGTGGCTTTGGGCAAGTCTCAGTCCTCAGCTTCCCCGTCCTCATCTGGACTGGGGATGATGGCCCAGCCCTTCTTCACAGATGCTGTTGAGGAGCTCGGCGTGCACAGGTGTGGAGAATGAATTCTTAATAAAAATGCATTGCATAATTTTCAAACTTTCTGAACCTGTATTAGGACCTTCCAGAGAAACCGAACCAATAGAATGTATATGTATATGTGTATGTATATATTAATATATGTGTATTTATTGTAAGAATTGGCTCATGTGATTATGGAGACGAAGTCCTAAGTTCTGCTTTCTGTAAGCTAGAGACCTAGGAAAGACAATGGTGTGAACTCCAGTCCAAAAGCTGGCAGACTTGAGACCCAAGAAGAGCCATTGTTTCAGTTTGAGTCTGAAGTCCAGAAAAAACCAATGTCCTAGCTTAAGATAGTCAGACAGGGGGAGCACCTCTTAAGGGAGGGTCAGCCATTTTTGTTCTCATCATGCCTTCAATTGATCAGATGAACGTCACCCACATTAGGGAAGGCAATCTGCCTTACCTAGTCTATGATTCAATTTTTAATCTCATCCCAAACACCCTCACAAACACACTCAGAATAACATTTGACCAAATATCTGGGCACCTTGCAGCCCAGTAATGTTGATACATAAAATTCATCATCACAATACTGTAGTTTCCAGTATTAACTAAAGCATTAAAACCTTTAACTGTGCTTCTCCTACCTTTGGATCAGTTCTTCCAATTGGCAGTAGGACCCTCGGAAGTGATGTCTGTGGCCTCCCTATCCTGCTTACAGATCAGGATAGGGAATGAGGCTGGTATGAGGCTCAGAGACAAGAGATAAATGACTACACCATTGTATCCTCAGCGTGTAGCAGAGTTCTTGTTGAATGAGTGATTTTGAGAATTGGCTGGTTCTATTTGTTCTTTTGTATTTTTAACATAAAATAAAGTTCCCTGGCACTGCTAGAGAACAAAGTGTTCATGTTTCTATCTCCAGAAATAAGTCTTCCCTTATTTCTAAACAAATTATGCATTTACAACCATTTATTCATTCAGCAAACTTGTGTTAGGTCAGGTGCCAAGGAATCAAAAATGAACTAGATAATATCTCTGCCCTTGAAGTACTTAAGAACTAAACTCTTCTGTCTTCCAAGGTATTTTATCAATTTCTGTCCTCATTTTTTTTTTTTTTTTTTGAGACAGAGTCTCACTTTGTTGCCCAGGCTAGAGTGAGTGCTGTGGCGTCAGCCTAGCTCACAGCAACCTCAAACTCCTGGGCTCAAGCAATCCTCCTGCCTCAGCCTCCCAAGTAGCTGGGACTACAGGCATGCGCCACCATGCCCGGCTAATTTTTTCTATATATATATATTAGTTGGCCAATTAATTTCTTTCTATTTATAGTAGAGATGGGGTCTCGCTCTTGCTCAGGCTGGTTTCGAACTCCTGACCTCAAGCATTCCGCCCGCCTTGGCCTCCCAGAGTGCTAGGATTACAGGCGTGAGCCACCCGCCTGGTCTCTGTCCTTGTTTTGTTGTCAACTTAATAGTTCTTTCTTCAGGGGAATGACTGCATCATGGCTGCCTGGGAACTTGCATGTCTTCATATGTGCCACATAGACCAGGATTTAACACCAGCTGATCTAAGTCCTGTAATCCACCTAAGAACATGAGTGCAGGGAGGGTTTCATCAGGGGGTGCTCCAAGGCCTTCTCCCACTCACCTTCCTACCTACCATGGAGGCTGTTACAAGGTAGTTTCCTCTGATGAGGAATGAGACTTTCTACCTCTCATTTCAGGTATAAGCTACAAGCAATAAAACTCTTCATCTGCAGCATGACATCAACTCCTCAGCAATAGGATGTTCTACCATATGTGTTGCAGTCACATGGCCTCTTTTGGCGCCATCCTGTGGAAAAAACCTGGCACATTTTGTACTCCTGCTTTTGCTGTCTACATAAATTAAAAGTTTTTCTTTTTTTGCCGGGTGCGGTGGCTCACGCCTGTAATCCTAGCACTTTGGGAGGCCGAGGCGGGCGGATCGCTCAAGGTCAGGAGTTCGAAACCAGCCTGAGCGAGACCCCGTCTCTACCAAAAATAGAAAGAAACTAATTGACCAACTAAAAATATATATACAAAAAATTAGCCGGGCATGGTGGCGCATGCCTGGGCTCGCTGAGCCCAGGAGTTTGAGGTTGCTGTGAGCCAGGCTGACGCCACGGCACTCACTCTAGCCTGGGCAACAAAGTGAGACTCTGTCTCAAAAAAAAAAAAAAAAAAAGTTTTTCTTTTTTTAAAACTGTTTCAATCCAAAGCTGGAAAAAATATACTCTCTGAAAGACACCTACATGGCCTTGTGTTGAAGAACAGAGAGGCAGTCCCAAATTTATGAAAGTGCCCAGCAATTCAATGATGTTCCTTTCACAATTTACTGAAACATTATACATATGCTTTTTGTGTCCTAGGGTATCCATACACGCCAATTTAACCCATAAAGAAAAATAAAATATATATTTACAACAGGCAGTAGATAATACCACTGTCTATACTTGTTGAATAAATTAAAGATATGAGACTAGAGCAGGCATAAAGGAAATAACATGTTACCCAACCCACAGACAATCATCCAGGAGACAGATCACAAGTCCAGTGATACAGGTAAACAACTTATTTCAAAAGTCCTGGCTGCTTACATATATAGACCTCTCTGGAAAAGGAAAAAAACCCTCTGACTTTTGCTTTTCTTGACATGAAGCATTCATTTAATGTTCATACTGGCTAAAGTGGGCAGTCTAAAATACTCATTCCCCATACAACTTGCCCATTTACATTAACTATATTAACTTTTCAGTACTATAGAGATTCTGCTATTGAGGCTTCATCTCTGTCCATACAACTTCTCACAATTCTCTCATTTTGATGAGCCTAATATGAATTTGCTAATATTAATATTTCCCAAGGCCCAATCTCTGAAGACTTTTCCATACTCATCACACTGTCAGGTTTTCCCTTTAGTGTGAATTCTCCAATGCTGAAAAAAGCTGGTGATTCCACAGAAAACATTTCCACAGTCATCATGTTTCTAAGATCTCTCTCTTGTGTAGATTCTCTGGTGCATAGTCAGTCCTGACTTTTGGGTAGAGGCCTTCCTTCCTATGTTCTTCACAGAGCTTCTAATAATATAAGGTTTCCTTGCTGAATGAAAGCCTTCTCACAGTCAGCACATTTATGTTCTCTCTCTTATGTGGATTCTTTGATGTCAAATAAGGCCCCTATGGCTAAAGGCTTTCCCACATTTCTCATAATATAGCATTTTTCCTTGTGGTGGATCTCTTGGTGGGAAAGGAGGGATCCACTATAAGCAAAAGCCTCTCAAAACTTGATTGCAAAGAGATTCTCTTTAGCACAGACTCCTTGATGCTGAGTAATAATTCACCAGCAACTAAAGCTTTTACTACACTTATTGCATTGATGTTGTACTTCTACAGATTCCCCCCACATAATTCAGCATCTCCAGAATTTTTTTGTTTTGAAGCCAAGTTCTTATTTTCATTCTTAGTAACACCATCTAAAAAAAATACACACACAATTCAAATGTCAGTTGTCTCTTCTGAAATGAGACTTATGATAAGGAACAGTGACAAAAGTAAAACCCAGTTTTACCTAAAGTGTGCATACCTTTTTAAAATCTCTAAACTGGCATCTCAATTTTGTGAAGTGCCCAAGAAGGCACATGGAACATGGGGTGGTGGCAGGGGGAGGGTGCTGTTTGAGTGAGAAGATTGAGCTAGGCAGAAAGGGACTGGAAGAACATGGAAGACTGTTCTCATAAAATGTGACAATCAAAGAATCAGGAAGGTATAATCAAAAAAGTCAAGAGATCAGTTTGAATCCAGAGCTGAGAAGTAAGGAATATCATGAAATCAAGAGAAAGTTTAATTTGCTAAGGATAGTTAAAAGGACTATTTCTATCTACTGATATGCTCCTAGGCCACTACTATAGATCTATGAAATGCTCAATAAATATTTGTTGAATGGATCGATAAACATGGGATATAATAAAAGTTAACTTGGAACAACAGCTAAACCAGTTTCAAAATATACCATATGAATTTGATGTGGGAAATCAGTAAAGTGGAAAATTTACAGTGGGGAAATAACTTTTCAGGTAATGTTCAGGTCTAAAACATAATAAAGCAACATTTTGTAGCCAAAGGAGTTAAATAGGGCAAAAAACCAAAAACCCCACAAATATGGTTGAGAGTTTCTACTTAAAGATCAGGTAGATAACAAGGAGTAAAGGCAAGATTTTAAGAGGGAAGACACTACTAAAGGTCATAAAGAGCTTCCCCTGCAAGGCTCTCCTTCTCTTTCTCTCCAGAGATCCTTTATCATCAGCTTTCCATAGCAAAAGGCAACAATGCTGAGAGCTAAACTAAGATAGGGTCTTAGGTTAGCTCTGAAACCTTTGATTTCAAGGTGTTATCACTGCCATAAGCATATCTTGTTCTATCCTTTAGCCTTAGACCTAAAGGCAACAGGATGAATGAAGTTGGTATTGGAAAATTGAATTTGAAGCTCAATCCTCAGCAAAAATGCCTAAACAAACAAAAACCCCCAATATAGAAAAAGAAGGTTCCAAAGGTACACATAAATAGAAGGGAGAATTAAAGTCCAAGAGGGAAATGCTGGGTTATGACTCCACAGACATCTGGTGGATTGTGAGGTTCAGTTTTGTTGCTTTCTGTGCTATTCCCAAAGCCTTTTACTAGTCAAGCTATAAGTAATCCTCCCGACCTTTCCCACCTGTGGCTTGTCCTTCATTCCTGCTGTATCTTCAGCTTTTCCAGCATGATCGATGCCTCCTCTCCACATTCTTTTTTTTTTTTAATTTTAAAATTTAAATTTTAAACATTTTACTTTCTTTTCTTCTTTTTCTTTCCTGGACTTTCAGAATCAGAACCACATTCTGGATGATATTATCCTACCTAGGTCTGCAGCTTCCCAGGCAGGGGTCAGGACCTGTTCCAGCACCTGTTCTTTATTATGTCTTCCTGGCCTCAGGAACTGTGGACAGAGCTCCCTGAGTCTCCTGACAGTCCTGTGAGGTACAGGTATCTATCTCCTGGTAGTCACAACTTAAAGTTTGAGGAAAGATCTGTGATTTCTTTGCCAGCTTGATTCTTGGTCCCAGACACAGACCTCTTCCTCTACCATTAGTCAATTTTAGAGATCTTTCCTGCAACAGGACTGCCATTCTGGAATCAGAGAGCTCAGGAGAAGATTCACTCCAGCTTGGGGTTCACACTGATTTTTCAGAAGTATTTCCTTGTAGCTAGTCTTCTTCCTAAAGCATAAAATAACAATGTTAACAGAAACTAAATTTTGTTTAGCTCTTTAACCCAACCAAGAACTCACTTACCTGGACAATGCACTGAAAGAAAACGGAACTCTGTGTCAGGAAGCTAAATAAATCAGGAGAGCGGGAGTTACTTGGCAAATTATTTGCCAACTCCATCTACTAGTTTTACTATAGTTTTACTTACTATGTTTATGTTAATAAAGCTTGAGAGAAAGATACGACCCCCTTCCCAATGGTTTTCCCCCTCAGTGCATCCCACACAAATAGTAGAGAAAAGAGCAACAGAAATGAGAAATAGGCCAGGCACGGTGGCTCATGCCTGTAATCCTAGCACTCTGAGAGGCTGAGGCAGGCGGATTGCTCGAGGTCAGGAGTTTGAGACCAACCTGAGCAGGAGTGAGACCGTTCTCTACTATAAAGAAATTAATTGGCTAATATATATAGAAAAAATTAGCCGGACATGGTGGCGCATGCCTGTAGTCCCAGCTAGTCTGGAGTCTGAGGCAGGAGGATTGCTTGAGCCCAGGAGTTTGAGGTTGCTGTGAGCTAGGCTGATGCCACGGCACTCTAGCCGGGCAACAAATCGAGACTTTGTCTCAAAAAAAAAAAAAAAAAAAAGGAAATGAGAAATAACAGTTAATATTTATTTAAAATATACTATGAATGGAGTAAGTTAAGTAGATACTATTTCCACTGGCAGATGAATGACACTGAGACACGGAGCGATTAAGTAATTTGCTCAAACTCACAACCAGTAGGTGGTTTCTCTTTCCTTGTACTCAAGCATCGACCTATCTACATCGACCTATCTACTCTTGGGGGAGTCACGAATCACATCATGTCCCCCAGCCAACCCAACTTTTCCCTTCTACAAAATCAGGAACACAGACCTTCCTCTTTTTCTCAACAGCCCCAGTTATCCTGATACCTCCCAACTTGCAAGTCATCCTTAACTTTTTCCCCGGCAGCTCTCTACCACCAGGCCCAACCTCATCAGAGTCACCGAATTCTGAAACTGAAGCCCAAGACCCTGAGCCCACCGCCGCCGCCAAAGGTAAGTCACAAAGGCAGGAAGGCCTGCAACTCTAGGTATGGCTGCGATCACCAGCTGCCTCAGCATTCAGCTTCTCTAGGATTCTGGAGGCTTTTTCCTCTCTGTGGTTGTCTGGCAGCACCCAGCCCTCGCTGAGCAGCGCCATTCTGGCTGTGCAGTCAGGTAACCCCAAGGGCTCACGCTGCCAAACTGGGGGGTGTCTGGCCCCGCTGGGGGCTGGCCTTTCTGCTCCAGAACTTCAGAATAGCAGCCCCAAGACAAACAGCGGAAACTGTGGGCTGCTAGTTATCTCTAATAACAGGGGCAGAGATAAAAGACAGGGAAATCTCTCCAGGTTGGGTGGTATGTGTCCCCTACTGGCTACTGTTCATCAGTTCCTAAGGCAAGAAAGTGAAAGCTGACCTGGTGGGAGCTTTAGTCCCAGGGCTAGGAGGACTGTGAAGCAGTCCTGGAAATCTTGCAGAATGGTTAAAGATAAATTCTGACCTGGGCTAGGGCATCTAGAGCCAACGCATTTGAGAGCCCACAATAACACTCAAAACTATAGCAAACAGTTCTAAAGCACTAAATATATGCCAAGCACTACTCTAAGCCCTTTACATAATATGTAACTCTATTAATCCAAATAATTGCCCAATTAGGTAATACTATTATCACAATTTTACATATGAGGAAACTGAGTCACAAGAGAGGTTCAATCACTTGCCCAAAGTCACTCAGCTAGTAAGATGAAACTCGAACCCTGGAAATCTGTTTCTAGAAATCATGTTCTTAAACCCTGCTTAAGAGTAAGAAAATTGGCTACAGGAAGCTGTAGAATCTCTAAACTGCCTCGTTCTTTACCAGGGTGAAATGGAAAGATACTCCTAAATCCCTCATTGAAGTAGGCAGAACTAAGGCACTAGATTTAAAAAGTAAGATATGCAGACCAAGCTTCAAGAGCAATAATGAAGATCTAATCATAAATCAGAGGTTACAAAGGGCCTCCACTTAGTAGTACTTCTTGGGACAACTAGCAGCAGGCCAGTTGGGCTTAGGAAGATGATTGGTAGGAGCAAACATATACCCCAAAGATCACCTTGAAGTATGATAGGTGAAGGCTCTTCGAGCCCTGACAGGTTTCAGATGCTGAATTTTTTTTTTTTTTAATGTGTGTGAAGAAAATAAACTGTTTCCATAAAATCAAGGGAAAAACTGCTGGCTCTCAATGACAGTCTTACAATGTAAGCTAGGGAGCTAACCAATTGAGAAATTTAAAACGCTAATCCTGGTTGGCTTTGTGAAAATCCATTTATGTACATCAAATTAACTTATATATATAATAAAAATTACATATAATATATAAAAATATATTCATACACATATACTTTTCATATATTTATATATGTAGAAATACTGTATATGTACAAAAAATGTGCTAGGACTCCTTAACAAGTATACCCAGAAACATTTAAAAGGAACAAGAATCCAAAGACATTCTAATAAAATGAGCTGCTGGAGGGGCTGTGGTATAAGAACTTTTTGGTGTGAAAGAATAAAAGTTGGGAAGAGATTCAATTAAAGGCTATTGGCTGGGCATGGTGCCTCATGCCTGTAATCCTAGCACTCTGGGAGGCCAAGGTGGGAGGATCACTCAAGGTCAGGAGTTCGAGACCACCCTGAGCCAGAGAGAGACCCCATCTCTACTAAAAGTAGAAAGAGATTAGCTGAACTAAAAATATATAGAAAAAATTAGCTGGGCATGGTGCCTGCATGCCTGTAGTCCCAGCTACTCGGGAGGCTGAGACAGAAGGATCGCTTGAGCCCAGGAGTTTGAGGTTGCTGTGAGCTAGGCTGATGCCACGGCACTCTAGCCCAGACAACAGAGTGAGACTCTGTCTCAAAAAAAAAGGCTATCCACATGATTATCCCCAGGTTGAACATGCACTTGTTGCTCAAACTCTGGCCTTGTGGAGTCAACAGGGGTACCATATGAACTATAAGATGTCAATTTTAAGCAAACAAAACCAATATTCTATATATATTTATGTTTTTTAATCAAAAAAGTGGTACTGGCTCCAAATATAAAACCACTTTTAGAAACTCTATCAAAGATAAATCTATAATGGGTTATTAACACTTGAGGACATCTCTTTAAATCTTTATGATCTACCTTAAAGAAAAAAGCAGAATGTGAATTATGGTTCTAAGCTAGCAGGGTGATCCTTTCATATAAAGAACCCATTTTTAAAGTAGAATGTCTCCTGCGACATCCTCACTGTGCAGGCAACAAGAATCAGGGCTGTGTTTATGCTGGCCAAACCTCACCCACGATTTGGTATGCAGAGAGGGTGGTGATGTTATTACCTGAGGTGTCTGGACCCCAGGACTAAGTATTTTCCAGAATAGTGACAGGAGTTGAAAAATTTCTACAGATAATTATTCAAGACACTAAATACTGCAAAATAAGGTTCATTCAACTGAAATAGAACAGGAAGAGTATCACAGAGTTTAAAAGTATGGGTTCTGGAATTGGGCTGCTTGAGTTTAAATCCTGGCTCCACCATATATTAACTTTGTGAGGTTGAGCAGCTTTAATTCATTGATTTCAGTTTCCCCAGCTAAAAGTGAAATAATATAAGTAAATCATTTAGTAATGCCTGTCCCTTAGTAAGAAATTAATAAATGTACAGTATTATTTTTTCTCAATTCCAAAAGTTGGCCAATAATAGCTTTGTTTTGACTATAACAACTCTACAATTAATAATCTATTTTTTGTATATTAACAAAAGAGGCTACTTCTGTATGGAGTATAGGAGTACAGAGCTTGTCTAAGTTCTTGTATCTTAGGGCTCTCCATCTCCAACCTCGCCATACAGTTGAGATTTCTCAATTCAGAGCCCTGCTCAATCCCATTCTCCTTTCCCATGAGCTTTATCTCATACCTCAAATTCTACCAACCACTACATACAATTTATTTTGGGGGGGAGAGATCCATCTTTTTTCCTTTGGAGTCCCTTCCTACTGTACTCTTTAGAATCCATTTGTCAGGTTACTTTTTCATCCACAGCTGTGTTTACACTCACTTCACTTTTCATTGCTTTACAAACATGACTCTCCCCTAACTCCTCTGTGCTTTTTGCCTTAAACAATCAATGTCTTGTTTACCTTGAATCAAGTAGAAAAGAAAAGCCAGGCAACCTTATTCTCATCCTTAATGTAATCTGTAAGCTGCTGCTTTATGATTAATTCATTTGAGTTTATACCAGGTACTTTTACTGGCTGTTGTGGTTACTACTATTATTAACTGCCATTACTTCTACCTTGGACCCGCTTCACTTTCACATTTGTCCTTTCCATTCTGGCTCCTGTTATTGTTGATTATTTCAAAATCCACATAGATAAGATGCCTCAAAGGTCCCTGATTTCCTAGAATCTGTCACACCACATCTATCTTTTATCCATAAAGATGTTCTTGACCGTATCAAAGGCATTCTCTGTTTACTGTACTCCCCAATGTAGCACTCCTATTCCATATCTAACATACTTTGTCACATCCTCTATTTGCCCCTCAAAGCCTCGATTTTTCTGTATTGTCAATTTAGCTCCAAGTAGTAACTTTGTTCTTCTATATTTTCTCCTTATCCTAGATAACTAGTTTGATCCATGATGTGTACCTGGAAATTCCATGCCACTCCACCTTTTTTTGGTACTACAATTGTATTTAAGCACAAGAAACAACAACAAAACACCCACATTTATTTTTAAACAAGTATGAACTGTTTCCTCTTATATAATAGGCATATTCCATTGTTCTTGGTCTTTGTTTATGGTCCCTCTATATTTGGTACGTAAGAGAGTTAGATTAAGTAGTGTGCAGAAAGGCAAGTGGAGGAACATGTGTGCATTGACAGAAACATGTTAAGCAGAAAATTAACTGGAAAGACCCCAAATAAAGACACTGAAAAAAGTGCAAAGTAAGTTTAAAAAGCAGCTTCCATTCGAGTGAACAATCAGATTGAACACAGAGGCTCTGAAATTACTATGCAGAGCCATTTCAGTTTGGATAACAAGTCTATAAAATCAGACTAGATAAGGAATATGAATAGCATTGGTCTGGTAAGGAGGGCATTCTCATAAAGGTTCACATTACTAAGTCCCCTCCAATGAGAAGAGTTTGCATAAGAGAGAGAAATGGGAAGCAGAGTAAGTTTAGCTAGGGAACAGGCCTCATATACTTATAGCTATAGAGCTCTCAGGTATAGATTTGGGATCCTTGTTTGTTTCCTTGAGGTAAAAAAGCTAGGTTTCTAATCCCAGTTGCCTCAGTGCTTTATGTGTGCAACTCCAATGTTGGTGTTATGAAAAAGCCTAAATAAGCAGTGGTTGTTTTTCAACTGTTCATTTGCTTTTCTCTGTTGTGAACTCAAGAATGTTATTCCATGCAGAAAGTCATATTAAGTTCCAATCCCAAAAGCCAATTTGACATGTCATATGCCTAAATTATAGTACTTATACCATTATCATTTCTAGGGGAAAATGTGTTCACATTTATAACTTAGAAAACTAGAAACACAGGTATTTCTATAGGACTAAGGACTCTCCCAGTTCTAACCCTGTGATGATATTTTGTATAGAAGTTATGAATAGTGGAGCAAGCGACAGGGACATTAGGGAAATAGCAGAATAAATCATAGGAGTGGAAAGAAGATAGGACAAAGACACAGAGCTGCATAGAAATGTAATTAGGAGTGGGACTTACTAAAGAAGAATGGAAATTACTTTTTTCTTTCTCCCCTTCCCCTATTGTCACTGCCTCACCACTTCAAACCCACTGACCGCTAGAAGTGAGGGAAGAAAAGGGACTGCAGTTGCCTTGGGCTAGAGTGGGAAGATAGTCCCAGAAATTGTGGTGTGGAATTTGTTATGGCAAGGTAAAACAGGAAAGAAATAATAGGACAGTAGAGATTGATTCCTATATAAAAAGACAAACAGATCAGGAATCATATGTACTTCTATGTGGCTTATCTGTTGCCCACAAAAATAATCATCATAAGCTCTCATCCAGAGTTTTTAACTCAGCAATACAAGGGTAAAGTCAACCAGTTGTTGGTTATTTTTTCAGACGCCCAAGGGATAGTATCTGTAATCTTTGGGCCTTTTATGTGCTCAAGAAGGTATACAAACCAAAAAATTGTAATCTGTTCTCAAGAGCAATTATTAGAAAACTCAGAATTCAATGATAATGACAGAGATGGGAAACAAAGGGAGGTTGAAAGTAAAAATGAATACCAGCACCTCTCCCCTAAATAAACAAACATATAAGTCCTTGCATTCAGAAGACCTTGGTAATAAGCCTTGGAATGTAGGTTTTGAAATACTTAACTTTGAAGGGATGGAAAGGCCACCTTAAAACTTTAGATTTAAGGCATGATGGTGGTCTAATTTCCTGTTTATTCTAAAGAGTTGGTGGCACATGTCCCCTGTAGGGATTTGTGATAAAAGTCTACAGTATCCCCTTGTTTACAGGACTGTATTCAGGCTTCTTCACTTCACACACAATTATGAAGTCAGCTGTGACTCAACTCAATGTTTCTCAAATATTAGAGTACAAGTGACTGTGGCACTATAAAAATGAAGATTTTTCAACTCCCATCCTAGGCCTTATGAAACAGAATGTCTGTAAGACTCAGGTATGTTAAACAAGCTCCACAGGTGATTTTGATGTTCATCAAAGTTGGGGAATCACTACTGTAATGGACAGAACTAGAAACCAGAGACCTGGCAATTAGGTACTGGGTTTTGTGTGGTATTATAGCTACGTCACCAACTCCATAAGCAAGAGTATCCTCATTTTTAAAATGGAGACTAATTTTGATTTACAGTGGTATTTTAGGAATTAAATGAGAAAAGTGCTCTGTAAGTGTCAAAGTGCTGTAAATTATCAGATGAAATCATTGACATTCTAGCCCTCCCACAGTCTGTTCCTAAGCTGCTTCTGACTTAATGCAATCAATTGCCCACTATGAATAAACTCTCCACTTTAGGTCTTGTCACTGATGCTTCCAAACCACAGGCACTCTTACCTCTTACATTTGCTTTACCTAAATGTTTTCTCCCTTTTACCATCCAAATCTGCTCATCAAACCCTATTTTCAATAAAGTCTTTCCTGACCACCCTAGGCAAAACAAATCTATCTTTAGAATTTATAGCATTTATTGTCTAACAAGTGCCATTTTAATGCTATACCATGTTGAGCATCAATCCTACTCTACTAAAGTCTTATTTAACTAAATATGTGGATATTATATATCCCAAATTAGGCTGTAAACTCTTCAAGAAAATAAGTCTGGTGTTATTTTCTTGTTCTCCACAACACCTAATACAATGGGCAGCACACAGAGGGTTCTTATTAAATATATGAGGTTTACTTATAGCAATAGTGACTGAAGTTTTGCCCCAAATCACTAGAAAGCTAGTATTTCTCACCAGCCTGAAGTCTGTGAGATAGCTTCCCTGTGGTCATCACACAGAAACAGATTTTTCTCCTTTGTGGATAGACTGATGTTGAGTAAGAGCTGAATTCTGCCTGAATGATTCCCCACACTCTTTACATATATAGGGACCACTTCCATTATGGATTCTCTGGTGTTTACTAATATCTGACCTCTGTCTGAAGGATTTTCCACACTCATCACATTGGTAAGGTTTCTCCCCAGTATGGATTCTCTGATGCTGAATGAAGCTGGTGATTCCTCGGAAGTCATTCCCACACTCATCACACTTGTAGGGCCTCTCTCCAGAGTGGATTCTCTGGTGTTTACTAAGATCTGACCTCTGTCTGAAGGCTTTTCCACACTCATCACATTGGTAAGGTTTCTCCCCAGTGTGGATTCTCTGATGCTGAATGAGACTGGTGATTCCTCGGAAGGCATTCCCACACTCATCGCACTTGTAGGGCCTCTCTCCAGTGTGGATTCTCTGATGTTCCCTGAGGACCGATCTTTGGGTAAAAGCCTTCCCACACTTATCACACTTATAGGGTCTCTCTCCAGTGTGAATTCGCTGATGTTCTATAAGACTTGTCCTTTGAATAAAGGCTTTTTCACATACATCACATTGGTAGGGTTTTTCTCCAGTGTGAATTCTCTGATGCTGAATAAGGCCACTCTGACTGAAGGATTTCCCACAATCCTTACACTGATAGCACTTTTCTTTGTGGTGGATTTCCTGATGGGAAACAAGGGATGAGTTATAAACAAAGGCTTTTCCACACTCATTGCACTCATAGGGCTTCGCACCAGTGTGAACTCCTTGATGCTGAGTAAGTATGGAACGCCGACTAAAACTTTTATTACACTGAGTACACTGATAAGGTTTGTCTCTTGTGTGGATCTTGAGATGGTGAAAGAGGCCTGCTTTCTGACTAAAGGCTTTGCCACATTCATTACAGTGGTAGTGTTTTTCTCCTGTGTGAAGTCTCTGATGTTGATTAAGAGCTGACCACCGGCCAAAGGCTTTGCCACACTCATTACATTTATATGGTTTCTCTCCAGTATGTATTATTTTGTGTCGAATAAGCACAGTTCTTCCACGGAAAGCTTTTCCACATTCTTCACATTTATAGGGCCTGTCTCCGGTATGGATCCTCTGATGTTCTAAGAGGCGTGATTGTTGACTAAAAGCTTTTCCACAGTCATCACATTCATAAGATTTTTCTCCTGGACAGATTCTCTGGTGTTCAGTATGGTCTGAGTTCTCAGTCAGACTTGCTCCATTTCCATCACATGTAGGTTGTTTATCTTCCCTGGAGTATCCAGAAGGCTCTTCTGTTTTTTCTTCAAGTTTATGAGTTTCTCCACACCTAGTAGACCGAGGTATATCATTTTCAAATCTATTAGATATATTCCCATATGGTTCCATTTCTTCAGAAATTTCTTGCTTTAGAGTTAAATTTCTGTACTCATTTCCAGTCTCAACATCTGAAACTACAAAGGGATCACAAATGTTACCTAGTGTCCAACAATAGCAAATAGTAACTTCATTAGGCAATTTAAAATTATTCAAATGAAACACACATAAGAAGTTTCTTCATGACCATAAAATGGCATTAGAATATAAGATGGACCTAACCTATAAAGTTACTTCAAAAATTGTTAAGGAAGAAATCAATAACCCACTATAAAACTTGGTAAAGAGGCCAAGTGCAGTGGCTCAAACCTGTAATCTTAGCACTCTGGGAGGCTAAGGCAGGAGGATTTCTTGAGTTCAGGAATTCAGACCAGCCTGAGCAAGAGTGAGACCCCCGTCTCAGTTAAAAATAGAAAAATTAGCTAGGCAGGGTGGCATGAGCCTGTAGTCAGAGGTACCTGCCTCAGGTGGCTGAGGCAGGAGGATCACTTGAGTCTAGGCGTTTGAGGCTGCAGTGAGCTATGATGATGCCATGGCTCTCTACCCAGGGCAACAGGGTGAGAGTCTGTCTCAAAAAAAAAAAAAAAAACAACCTGGGCAAAGTTAAAATTGATGGTTTCCAAGAGAGAAAATGCTCTTAGACATAGGAAAATATGTTCCACCTCACAATCAGGGACAAAGCAAATTTAAATAAATTGAGATATAATTTTTTACCAATCAGATTTGCCTAATCAGTTTGATACAACACTGTGTTCACAAAATGGATAACACACATTTCTGGTGGGAGTGTGAATTGATCCAATCCTTTATAGAGGGCAATTTCACAATATCAAACCTTTGACCTAGTGGTTCCACATATGTGAATTTATGCTACAGACATACTCACACACATGGTTATTTATTGTAGCACTATTTGTTACAGTAAAATACTGAAGACAAATATCATTAGCAGGGGACTGGCTAAGTTTATTGTGCAGTACACCCAAGCATTTTCATATTAACCAGCTGTTAAGAAATAAAAAATGTCCAGATGTGAGACAAATCCAAACTATGTCAAAAAAAAAAAAAAGAAAGAAAGAAAAAATGCAAGAATCTAGCATCTTAGCGATAAAGGGAGAAAAATATATTTGTTTCAATATGAAAAATGTCTATTCATTGAAAACATCTCTGGAAGGACACACAGGAAATTAGTAACAGTGACAACTTATTTCAGAGTAGGGAGAAGAGATTAGATCACTGGGGGAATTGAGTAGAGTGGAAACTTTTCATTGAATAACTTTTAAAATTTCTGATTTTGAACCACACTAATTTTTACCTATTTAAAAAAATTAAGTGAAACAGAAAAAATTATAGACAAAGTAGAGATAAGGAAGGTAGAGGGTTTTTTACACATTCCCCAACTTTTAATATTTTGCCACATTTGCATTATTATTCCTTCTCTTTATTAGTATAAACTTTTTTTTTGTCTTGACCATCTGAGAGTTAGTTGCAGACATTATGGGGCAAAGGCTTACTTACTGAAGGAGAAAGGATATAGTCCAAGTGGAAGATAGTGGTATTGTCTGGTAGAACAAAGGTTAGAAACAACACAGAGGTCAGTATCAGAAGGACTAAATTAAGTGATCTAAAATAAAATACAACTAGAATTTAGAAAAACATGAATATTAAATAAAAGGAAAGAATTGAAGATTGAGAAACCAGGCTGTCCAACAGTCCATGTATGAGCCATCAGATTCCTAGAGAGCCCTTTCTGAATTTAATGAGCAGAAACAGAACTAAGTAAAAAAGCGCCCCAATGTTCTGTGTTAATTTTCCCTGTATTCCTCTTCCTTCCAAGATGGGACTTTCTTCTTTACCTTGTTCCTGCTGGACTCCAAGTTCCGGAGATTCACACTTTAGCTGGGCTTTTACGGACTGGAAGGACATACTATGTTCTTGTTCTGTTCCTAGAGGTACCATCTCCTGCAAGAACACTTCCTGTTCCCCAGTATGGACTAAGACCTGAAGAAAATGAGATATAGCTGACAGACTCACTCTGACAACAAAAAACAAAAAAGTACACTATTCATAGCAGTGGCACCCAGCTTACTGAAACTTGAAATAACCTTCTTCCCAAATATCAGCCTGTCATAACCCTACCCAATCTTCAAGGCCCATGTAAATGTTGCCTCCTATGAGGAATCTTCCCTTCCCCAGCCCAAAATAATTTCCCCTGTTGTTAACAGCTAAAGTATGTTGGTTACTATTAATACTTTGTCTCATGTTCAAAGAAGTGGAGAAGGGAAAGAAAGACAAAACATAGGAAAAAAGAAAAAGAAGGTAAAAGAGGCAGAAGAATAAAAAACATAGAACTTAGGGGAAAATAAAACATAAGAGAAAGAGGAAAAGGAAAGGGAATAAGTAAAAGGAAATAATACAGAGAAATGATAGCAAAGAAAGGCAAAAGGAAACAAAAAATGAGAAATAGGAAGAAAAGAAAGAGGGTGGGCCAAGGAAGGAGAAAGAAAAGGAAAAAAGGGAAAGGAGAGAAATCTCTTCATATTCATTCCAGAAGCTGTTTCCAATCATCTCTGCCCTTCTGAGGTGCCCATCCCATTTCTCTCTAGGGAGATGATCTTCTTTTCTACTTATCTAAGATCACAATCATCTCAAAAATCATCTACCCTTCACTTTATCTCCATCCTCATACTCTTCTCCTTCCCTTCTTAGAGGAAGATGTCTTCTCTTTTTCAAGGCTCACATTTCTCTCTACTTTTGCCTTCAATCCCATCCCTTTCTGCTTCCCTCTGACCCTTGCTTCCTCAATGAACTAACTCATTATTCAGCAATTTCAGCCACTCTGTGGCTCCCATTCCTCTATAGGCCCATTTCCTCTTGCATTTAAAAGCAAGGATTTGGAATCACACCAATTACTTCATTTCTTCGTTTAGTAGCTCTGTGACCTTAGTTACTCTCCTTGAGATTATACATATCATGTATACAAAGCATCTAGCACAGGACCTAGGCATACAACAGGCCTTCACATTACTCCCCCATTCCCTTCAAATGCTAAATTTTGTAAATAAGAAATCACTATACACTGCCTTTATTTCTCTGATACAGTTTCATTTTGTAGCCTCTATCTCCAGAATAAGAGCCAGAATCAGCAAAATGTACAGAATATCAAAAGTACAGAAAAAGATATTTTTCATACCTCAAATTTGAGAAAAGAAAGAAAAAACAAAAGGTCAGTACATTGAGTTGTGCCTTCTATCCCTGGATCTCTAACTAGGTCTCAGAAATCAAGCTGTAAGCTACATTAGCTAACCCCAGCAGGCTTTCAGAGAAAGGACTAGTTGGCAATACAAACTCAACATGTTTAAAACCAAATTACTCTTGCCTGCACCTAAAAATCCCATTCTTTCTTCTGGTTCTTTTCCTACCTCCCTGGCCACTCCTTCTGTTTCCACTGCTGGTTACTCCCTTGATAATCTCATCCTGTCTGGTGGCTTTAAATATCATGCACACTCTGAAAATCCCAATTTTCTAGCACAGATGCCCTCTATTTAATTCCAACCATATCCAGTTGCTTGCTCAACTTTTTTACTTGGATTCTAACAGGAATCTCAAAATTAACATGGGTAAAATCTAACTTTTGATTCCTGTCCCTCCACCCCAAACATACTTTTTTTCCCAATCTTCACCATCTCTATGAATGACAAATCCATTCTACCTGATGTTCAGACTAAAAACTCTGGCATAATCCTTAACTTACTTTCTCTCACATCCCACATTCTTTAATTCTATATAAAAACAAATCTATCAAGCTCTACCTTCAAAATATATCCAGAATCCAATCCACATTTTACCACTTTCACTGCTATTATCCTAGTCCAAGTCACCAATATCGCTTGCCTAGATTATTGTATACATCTATGGCCTCCTAAAATGGTTTACTTGTTTCTACCTTTGACCCCTATTCCTCCCCAACCCTCATGCCAGGTCCATTGTAGAACTTTCTTAACACAGTAGTCACAGTGATTATTTTAAAATTTAAGTCATTTTATATCTCTTTTCTGCCCAAATGACTTACAAGTCCCTATAATATTATCTCCTTATAACTATTTTATCTCCTCCTTGACAAACACATCTCTACCATGACAAGCACATTCTCCCTCTAAGACCTATCTATTTACTTTTCCCTCTGCCTGAATGCTCTTATCCTTGATGGCTTAATGGCTTGCTCTTTTAAGTCAGATTTCTGCTCTAAACATCACCCTATTTGAAAAGCCTTCTCTGACAAGTCTACCAAAGATAGCAAAATCCCCATTTCCTTCACTGCTCCTTTTCTCTGCTTTTATTGTTGTTACTGTTGTTTTAACAGGATTTATCACCACTGACATCTTATATGCTTGTTTTTTTTAAAAATTTACCATCTGTCTCCTCTCAGTAGACTAGAATCTATTAATACATAAGAGCAGCAACTTTCTATGCTTTGTTCACTGTTGTATTCACAGTGCCGTAAAGAGTAACTATCTGCTTACTGATTTCCTACAGTCTTTAACTGTTAGGAGTGTTTCCACTACACTAGTCTTTCAAGCTCCACATCCCTAGTGCTTAGCCTAGAACAGACTGCTCTGTAGAGTTCTCCATTGATTCTTCCTTCTTTATAAATCCAATGTCATAATTTCCAATTAATTCTTATGTAAGACATGCCTCACCCCTTGCAATCACACTTTCACAACCCTATTTCAGACTTACATCTTTTTGCCAGAGGCTCCTTCTTTCTCCACTCTATTTTGTATCCCAATGCTAGATTACACTTCCTGTTTTATTATTTCACTAAGTTCATCCTCTTTATACCAACCTTTCCTAGACCAGGCTCTACTGATACGTTGAGTCAGATAATTCTTTGTTGTCTGAGACTGTTCTGTGTGTTCCAAAGTGTTTAGCATCATCCTTGTCCTCTCTGCCCACCAGATGCTAGCAGCACATCCCTCACTTACAAAAAACAAAAATGTCTCAAGACATTGCCAAATGCCTTTTGGGGCATACAATTCCCACTGGTTAAGAACCACTGTCCTACATCATTATTAAAACAGAACAAAACAGTTCTGCATAATTTGGTTCTCCTTTACGTTTTAGGATTAGGAAACTCATTTAGACTCAAGCAGAAAAGGTTCAGAGCCTCTGTCCTACAGAATAAAATCTAAACTCCAGAGGTTGGGATTTAAAGTCCTGGACTCTCTATCTCAACTTTTCTTCTTAAAACTCACCTTTCCACCTAACTAGGCTTTCTACTTCTCAAAGAAACATGGAATCCTGCTCTGCTTCTCCCCACTATCTTTCCATTATGCTCCTACCTCTTATTCCCCTGAGAAGGTGACTTTCATTTCTCCATCTTTAAATATTTTAATGGAGAGTCAGGGAAACTTAATTCATATTTATATTGTGCAACAGAAGGGATGCCCCTTTCACAGGGCTGCTTCCCAACCTGCTACCTTTGTCTTTACATCTTTTCTCTGTCCTAGAAGTCTTCTGTTTCTAAGCTAAGCTGCATGTTCATCAAACAGAATTTTGTACTGTAGTACAGAAATACACCATCCCTCTGCACAAAAGTTAACACCATATTAACCAATTTTCCATTAAACTTGGGCCCCTTTCTGATGCACCAAACTGTTAAGACTATGCTTAGTGGAATAACGCTGTACTTCCCTCTGGACTAGAAATCCATAATTTATCTTTTCTCAAACGGAAATCACATCTTTTTTCTCACCTGATCTCTTGGCTCATCCAGCTCTCTCTCTAAATCCTCCAGCACAGTTACCACCTCCTCCCCACTCTCTGGATGCTGTTCCTGCACCCAGGCCTGGAGCTCCTCTGGCAGGATGGTAAGGAACTGCTCCAGAACCAGCAGCTCCAGAATCTGTTCTTTGGTGTGGGTCTCTGGCCGAAGCCACTGATGGCAAAGTTCTCGAAGTCGGCTTAAAGCCTCACGGGGTCCAGATGTTTCCTGGTAGCAAAATTGTCTGAAGTACTGTCTGAAGATCTCTCTGCTATGGGTGTTGTTCTTTTGCAGGTTCTGATCCTGTCTGGTGGTATACTTCTCTTCCTCTTCCTCCTCTATCTTTACTTCCAAAAGTTCATCCTGGTCCTTGTGGGCCTGCATGTCCCAAGTAGATGCCATCATAGCTATGCAAAACTTTTATCAGTGCTTCAAGTAAGATCTGACCTGGAAAGTTTCTTCCTGGATGTACCTGAGGAATAAGCCATCATTATTAATACAAATTATACCATAAATAAAAATTGCAAATTCTAAGAACTTAAGTGTGACTTTTGAAAGTCTGCCCCCAGATAAATTTACTATACTAAGAGAAATACTTTGATAGAAAAGACTTAATAATAAACTAATTTAAAGAGAAAAGATGCCAAGTATTTCAGAACTTCAAGGAAGAGTAAGATGTGGCAGGAAATATTTCTATTTAGTCCTAAAATAAAGAACAAGTAAATGGAATAAAACTAACATTCAGAACAAGAGTATAATAATAAAAGGTTGGGATATCCTTGATTAGTTGCTTTTTTTTTTTTTTAAATGCCCAAATGTCTGGTGGAAACCGTGAAATCATAAAAGCAACAAAGTCATATTAATTTATTTCTTTGGGATTTAATCTCTCTGCTCCTTATTCTTCATTTATAACGTGAAAAGGCTGAAGAGACAGATTACTCTTTAAGGCTTTCTTCTAGCCTTGAGTTCTGTGATTATAAATCGAAAGCAAGGCAGGCCCAGGAAAGGGGCGCCGGCCAGCGTCTGTGACCCAGTAATGCCCAGAAATGTCCAGAGGCTCTGAACAGGAGAGATACAACCACCGCTCAGGGCCCAAGACAAATCCAAGAGTGAAGGGGCTAACAGCCCGAACCCTCTGCAGAGATTGCAAGCGGGCCCCTCACCCTAGGGCTCTGACGTCCTCGGCAAGGAGGCCGGGGAATGGCCTCTGAGGAAGCAGAGCTTTCTGCGGACCCGCCTGGGCAGGGGAGGACCGGGGCCGGTCCCACAGCAGCCCGGGCCTAAAGGGCTCCGGCCGCGGGAACACAGAAATCCCCGCCCGCCGCGTCCGGAGCACAGGCTTGTTCACCCCGCTGCCCACAAAGGACAACAGAAGACTTCCACCGCAGGTGCCAAAGGCTGAGACCTCGAACCCTTTCAGGTCCCGAAACCCACCAAGGGCGACCCACAAAAGCCGGAAGTGGCCGCGCGGGGCACGGGACCGGCTAGCCGGGCCGCGCGAGGCGCACTTCCGTGGCTGCTCTAGGAATGGGGCGGGAGGGGCTTTCAACTCGGTAGCTTTTCCGCGCGCCCACGCAAGAGGCGGCTGAGGATTCGCAGCCTGAGGGTAGACGGAATTGGTTATCTTTCTCTTTCTCTTTACCGGGCTGTTGTCCCCACTTTCCCCGACCCAGTGGGTGGTCGAGGCTTGTAGAGCTGCTCCGAAGATTGGGAAATCCCGTGCTTTTCCACTCTCATTTCAGGTTTCTGTATCTCTGAGGTTCGCGGTTCCTCAAAGGGATGTTCTCCCGCTGACCTTCCCACTCATGATGGTGAAGGGACCTCTGCTAGGAGGCATCTCAAGAGCCAACCTGCTGTTTTCTGCAGGCTTTTTCACCGTCAATGATTCTCTGATGTTCTCTTTTCTGTATTAATGATATGATTATACATCTGAAAACCCACAGAATTCATGGAAAAACTACATTAAAAAGATAATTTAGGAAATAAGCAGGATATAAAATCAACATACTAAAAGTTAATAGCCTTCATATATACGAATAACCAGCGAGAACCAGTTACGAGATATAATGGAAGAGAAGACCATATCTACAATAGCAACAAAAAAGGGAAAATACTTAGGAATAAACAAGAAATGAGTAAAGTGTATATGAAGAAAACTTTAAAACTCTCCTCAAAGGTTAAGTGTGAACCTAAACAAATAGAAAGCAATATCCTGTTCTTGGACAGAAAGAATCAAAGAGGTCAATCCTCCCTAAGTATAACTGCAGCTGTAATATCCCAGGTACAAAGAAGCCAGGTAAGGTGCCCATAATCTCAAACTCTCTGGCCAGAGAGTCCGATGGTAGTTTCGGATTGTCAGGGATGGACACAAGCCTTTTTAAAAAACTTATCATTTTGATTTTTAAAAAATTTATTGTGGTAAAAACCACTAACATAAAATTTACCATGTTAACCATGTTTAAAGTGTACAGTATAGTAGTATTAAGGTTTGCACACTGTTGTGCAACAAATATCTAGAACTTTTTGGTCTTGCAAAACTGAAACGCTATACCTATTGAACAACAACTTTCCTTTTCCCCTTCTCCCAGGCCCTGGCTACCACGATTCTACCTTCTTTCTAAAAGTTTGACTACTTTAGATACCTCAAATAAGTGGAATCATGTAATATTTGTCTTTTTTGTGAGTGGCTTATTTCACTTAGCATAATATCCTCAAGGTTCACCCACGGTGTAGCATATGACAAGATTTCTTTGACAGAATGGACATTTAAGTTGTTTCTGGCTGGGCACAGTGGCTCATGCCTATAATACTAGCACTTTGGGAGGTCAAGGCAGGAGGATCGCGTGAACCCAGGAGTTCAACACCAGCCTGAGCAATAGTGAGACCCCCATCTGTCCAAAATATTAAAAAAAAAAATTTGCTGGGAACAATGATGCATGCCTGTAGTCCTAGCTACTTGGGAGGCTGAGGCAGATCACTTGAGCCTGGGAATTGGAAATTGCAGTGAGCTATGATGATGCCACTGCACTCTAGCTGAGGCGAAAGAGCTAGACTGTCTCAAAAAAAAAAAAAAAAGTTAAATTGAAAGACATGGCAATGCTGGACATGCATCCCCACATAATGCAGTGGATTTGAGAAGCAGTCCCTCCCTTTAGATAGGTTTTGCCCTCTTAGGAAGATTATCTAGTATTAGAAATATGAGTTTCCTTTCAAAGGAGACATGCTTTTGATAAGAATATGATCTTTGGCTAAATTTGCTAAAGGAAAATTAGTCTCAAAGGCAATGTATTTTTTTTACTTACATCATGATTCCTATTCTTAAACTGATAATCAAACCTATTTGTCTTAAAGATCCCTTGTGATAGAATTGGCTTTAAGTTGTGAAACATTGGTTGTATGATTACATAAGTCATAATTTAATGACCAGTATGAAAATTAATGATGGTTCCAAAAATATTAGTTGATGATTTAAGTAATTCAGCAATAAAGCTTATTAAGCTTTTCCTTAAAATATACTATACTTAAAAGCATGAAAAGGTCATTATTATGGTGGTCAAAATGAATAATTAACCTGATCATCTTTCTCATGCAGTAGTACTCAAGATCAAAAAAGATAAGCTTGGCAATTTTCCTGGATGCTTAATGAAATATAAAAAATGTTTCTTGTTGTTTTCCCTTGTTTTTGACTCCAAGACTGCTTTGCTCATTTATATTACTTGCCTGGCCTATAGGCAAAATCTGAGTTTGCTTATTTCTTTTCTTTGAAGACTAGCTTGCTTGAGTATCTCTAATGTTTTCCTAATGCAAATTAATACACCTCTATTTAAAAAAAAAAAAAAGATTCATCTTTCTTTTTGGAATCTTGGCTGGGAGCTTTGTGTTACATATCAGAACTTAAGTAGAAATGGAAGGCCCAAAGATTCACTGTGCTGTTACTAAAAAGTTGCTGAATAAGATTTTTTGACTTGACAAATCATCATGACTGTAGCAACATTTAAAATACATTAACTATCTAATATTCCTATTTGTATTTTATGTACAATTTAAGGTTTCACTAAAAAATATTATTAAACAGCAGTGTAAGTTTTTGTGAAAATTGTATTTTGGAACAACTAGTAAAACCTCTGGAAACCTAAACTGGTGGTCCACAGGACATCCTTTGAATCACTAAAATATTTTATTTGATCAAGTTGTTAGGGAAAAAGTGAATGTTTGTTCTGTTAAATCTGACAGAATTTTGGGGGTACATTTTGAAGGGCTGGTTCTTATCAAAGCCTGTTGTGCAGTCTGGTATACAGAAATTCTGCCTTGCCAATTTCAGATGCTAGACACTTAAGAGATTTCAATGTCAGATGAGGTGCTATTGTTCAAAGCCTTTTCCATCTATATTTATCAATTTCCTAAGTTCTCTTTTGAGTGACTTCTCTGAAGTTTAATAAAGAACAAAAATCGAAGGAATATTTTGCTACACTGATTACCCTGAAAGGGTTTCTCTCCAATGTGGATATGATGAAAAAGCAATTCTCTTATTTTCATGAAGCCTGCACTTGAGTAAAGACTTTTCCACACTTATTATAATCATAGAATTTCTCACCAGGGTGAATCTTTGATGCTAAGAACAGAATTCTTAGTGAAAATCATTCCACACTCAGCACTGTGGTATTTTCTGGATGTTTTTTTAGTTCTCCCTCATACATTTGGACTTCTATACAATCAAAGTTCTGAGGAATACTGCCTTCAAATCTGACTGAGTTTTCCTGTTGGCTTGTTATTTCTTCAGATTTCTTCTGCTCTGGAAACACTTTCTTTTTCTCCATTTGATTAAATCATCTGAAAGAAAAGACTGACAATTTTAGCATAATCCATACATACATAATTATATATACTAAATCACTTGCTCATTAAATAAGCACTTATTGGAATAAGATGCTAGAAACAAGAGACAGAATAAAATGTTTCACATAAAACAGATGTGTATTGAGTTTATGACTTAAATTACAGTGTGCTGCCATTTAAAAAATGGGGAGTTGTGTGTGTTTACATGTATATGTACATATGCTTGTATTTAAACAACAAATAATGAAAGGATAATCCATAAAAATAAAGAGCAAGGAAAGGTTATTTATGGGGAAGAAAAGAAATAGGAAGGAGGGAACAAAAAAAGAACTTCTTCCAAAATGTCTTCAAGATATAGACAATATAGCAAGATACTATCTCTACAAAAAAATTAAAAAATTAGCCAGGCATAGTGGCACATGCCTGTAGTCAGAGCTACTTGGGAGGCTGAGGTGAGAGGACTGCTTGAGCCCAGGAGTTTAAGGTTATGGTGAGCTATGATCATACCACTGCATCCCAGCCTGTGTGACAAAACGAAAGTCTGTCTCTAAAAAATAATTTTTAAACCCTCTAGGGCTACTTAAAAATAATTTGATACCAATACAATGACATGTATGTCAGCTATATGTATATGTATTATATTACATGTAACTGACTTGGGCCACATACAGTGGCTCATGCCTGTAATCCTAGCAGTATGGGAGGCTGAGGCAGGAGGATCACTTGATTCCTAGAGTTCGAGACTATCATCAGCAAGAGACCCCCATCTCTACCAAAAAGACAAGAAAAAAAAGCCCAGCTTGGCATTGTGGCCACGCGCCTGTAGTCCCAGCTACGAGGGAGGCTGAGGCAGAAGGATCTCTTAGAGCCCAAGAGTCAGAGGTTGCAGCGACAATGGCACCACTGTATTCTACCCAGGGTGGTGAATGAGATTCTGTCTCAAAAAAAACTAAACAAGGCAAAAAAAAACCCACAAAAAAACCCCACATGTAACTCACTTGAAAAGATATCCACAATGTAATATTAAGTTTTCAAACAAGTGGTAAATAAAATGTACAGTATAATTACATTTTGGTATACATATATATATGCTTTTCTAAAAAGCATGCACCTACCAATAAATCTTTTATGTTTCCTAAACTCATTTTTAAAAAATGTACATTTTAAAATTTCTCTATTGCATGTAGCCTTTCAATATTTTTCTATTGGCTTCAAAATACAAAACTGTTCTGCCTTTGGGATAAGAAGTCTGGGTCAGGGCAGTTGGTAAGTATTAAGTTAGAACAGAGAAACTGAACCATGCAATATGAGATAAGAGACTAGCAGGATTTTTCAACAATTTTAATACAAAGAAGTGAAGAGAGAAAAGAAACATAATCAAGGGTAAAATAATATGCTTAGCAGGGGTCCTCAAACTACAGCCTGCGGGCCACATGCAGCAGACATTTATTCAGCCTGCCAGGTGTTTTTGCCACGGCTGCCTGTCCTGCTTAGCAGCCGACTCGTCCTGGGCCCACAGTGCGCATGTGTGGCATGTGCACCGCACTCTCCAATGGCCCTCCAAAAGTCTGAGGGACAGTGAACTGGCCCCCTATTTAAAAAGTTTGAGGACTCCTGGCTTAGAGGAACAGGTTTAAAGTGGAACAGGCCTTAGAGATCAAATGAAAGTTAGGCAAAGATTTTAGTGATGAGGCTCATTTGGAAAAATGCAAAAAGACATCAACATTTCCTAACTTTTCCCAGTGTGATCTCCTCCTTAACTTTCTCCCGAACAGAGTGCAACTCTCAAGATTCAGAGCTGAGCTGACCTTTACTGGTTGGAGATGGACCCCAGGAGAGTCCTATGCTGCTGCCAGATACACTATTTGTCCTTAAGGCATTTCCTGTCCCTGTAGGATGGCAGAAACCTGGGGACAATTTGATACAATTTGGCTTGGGTTAAGATCCCAATATTACTATGGAACACAGGATGGGAGGGTAGAAAGCAGTATTTCCCTAGTCTGCAAGCACCGGGGATAAAAGGATAGAGAAAGGAAAATATATAAGGCCAATAAGTTAAAAAACAAAACAAAATAAAAACAAAAATAAATAACTCAGGCCATTTTCCTCTGACTATACTAGAGAGTAGATCTCAGCTCTCTTATCTCCCTCTGGAGATAATACTGCTGTTTGATAATAGACCATTTCTTCTTTACCGTACCTTTCCTCCTGGATCATCCAGCTTCCTCTCCAAGTTCTTCAGTACAGTGACAGCCTCCTTACTATAGCTTTAGCTACTCCTGCACCCACACTTTGAGTTCTTGAGTAGGATGATCAGGAACTGTTCCAGTATCAGTAGTTCCAAGCAGGGATGCTGTGTATCTCTGGTCTCAGCCACTGATGGCAAAGAGCCTGGAGCTAGACTCTTGAGGCTCAAGTGACTAACCACGGCAGAACTGCTTGAAGCTTTGTCTAAAGAACTCCTGGCCAGAATCTCCCCTTCTGTGCAGACTAGATTCTTTAACTATTTGACATTTCTTTGGTTCTTCAGCAGCCTAGAAGGGCTGGACTGAATCCATTCCTGGGTGAAATAGCTCAGAAGACTGGCTCACTACAGCAGTAAGTGTGCTTTAGGCTGATGCTAAGACCTAACAAATCCAATGTTAACAGAGATCAACTCCAAACTATGGGAGATCAAGGCAATGATTTTAAGGTAGAGAAACTCTGCAAAAGATAAAACAAACAAGTGAAAAATAGCATAAAAATTAACTAAAAGATATTTTAGCTACTTCAGGATTAAATAATAATAAGACTCTATTACCTTTTTGATATAGAAACTTTGGTGAATTAGTCAGATGATGAAGAAAAACAACGGTGGCAAAAAGCAATGCAGTTTTGCCTGCTTATATTGCATGTCAGAAATTTAGTCAATTAACTCTCATAGGAAAACCTCAGAGATATTGCAGGTTTGGTTCCAGACCACTACACTAAAGCAAATATCACACTAAAGTGAGTCACATAAACTTTGTGGTTTCGCAGTGAATATAAAAGTTATGTTTACACTGTACTGTAGTCTATTAAGAGTGCAATAGCATTATGTGTAAAAACATATATACCTTAATTTAAAAATATTTTCTTGATGAAAAATACTAACAATTACAACAGTGAGTCATAATAACAATCAGTGAGTCATAATCTTTGTGCTAGTTGAGAGCCTTCCTTGATGTTGATGACTGCTGATTGATCAGGGTGGTGGTTGCTGAACGTTGGGGAGGCTGTGATAATCTCTTAAAATGAGACAACAATGAAGTTTGCTGCATTGACTGGCTCTTCATTTCATGAAAGATTTCTCTATAGCATACAATGGTTTTTGATAGCTTTTTACTCATGTTAGAACTTTCAAAATTGGAGTCAAATCTCTCAAACTCTGCTGGTGTTTATCAAGTAAGTTTGTGTAATATTCTAAGTCCTCTGGTGTCATTTCAACAATGTTCACAGCATCTTTACCAGGTGTTCCTCAAGAAACCTTTTTTATTACATCTCAAGAAATATTTTATTTTATTTTTGCTCATCCATAGAAGCAACTCCTCATTCACTAAAGTCTTATCATGAGATTGAAGCAATTTGGCCACAACTTCAGGCTCCACTTCTAATTCTAGTTCTCTTGCTATTTCTGCTACATCTGCAGTTATTTTCTCCACGGAAGTCTTGAACCCTTCAAAGTCTTCCATGAGGGCTGGAATCAACTTCTTCCAAACTCCTGGTAATGTTGATATTTGGTCTCCTCCCATGAATCATGAATATTCTTTTTTCTTTTTTTTTTTTTTTTTTGAGACAGAGTGTCAGTTTGTTGCCCAGGCTAGAGTGCCGTGGTGTCAGCCTAGCTCACAGCAACCTCAAACACCTGGGCCCAAGTGATCCTTCTGCCTCAGCCTCCTGAGTAGCTGGGACTACAGGCATGCACCACCATGCCTGGCTAATTTTTTCTATATATTTTTAGTTGGCCAATTAATTGATTTCTATTTTTAGTAGAGACGGGGTCTCACTCTTGCTCAGGCTGGTTTCAAACTCCTGACCTCAAGCATTCCGCCCGCCTTGGCCTCCCAGAGTGCTAGGATTACAGGCAAGAGTCACCGCACTGGGCTGTGAATGTTCTTAGTGGTAGCTAGAGTGGTGAATCTTTTTCAGAAGGTTTTCAGCTGACTCTGCCCAGAGCCATCAGAGGAATCAAAATCTATGGAAGCTATAGCCTTACTAAATGTATTTCTTAAATAACAAGACTACTGGCCGGGCGCGGTGGCTCACGCCTGTAATCCTAGCTCTTGGGAGGCCGAGGCGGGCGGATTGCTCAAGGTCAGGAGTTCAAAACCAGCCTGAGCAAGAGCAAGACCCCGTCTCTACTATAAATAGAAAGAAATTAATTGGCCAACTGATATATATAGAAAAAAAAAATTAGCCGGGCATGGTGGCACATGCCTGTAGTCCCAGCTACTCGGGAGGCTGAGGCAGAAGGATCGCTCGAGCCCAGGAGATTGAGGTTGCTGTGAGCTAGGCTGACGCCATGGCACTCACTCTAGCCTGGGCAACAAAGCGAGACTCTGTCTCAAAAAAAAAAAAATAACAAGACTACAAAGTTGAAATTCTTGATCCATGGGCTGAAGAATGGATATTGTGTTAGAATGCACAAAAACTACTTTAATCTCTTTGTACACCTCCATCAGAGCTCTTGGGTGACTAGGTACACTGTCAATGAACAGTAAGTCATATTTGGAAAGAAATCTTTTTCTGAGCAGTAGGTCTCAACAGTGGGCTGAAAATATTCAGTAAACCATGCTCTTAAACAAATATGCTATCATCCAGGCTTTGTTGTTCCATTTCTAGAGCACAGGCAGTGTAGATTTAGCATAATTCTTCAGGCCCCTAGGATTTTCAAAATGGTAACTAAGCATCAGGTTCAACTTAAACTCATCAGCTGCATTAACTCCTAACAAGAGAATCAGCCTGTTCTTTGAAGTCAGGCACTAATTTCTCCTTTCTAGTTATAAAAGTCCTAAATGGGGCCAGGTGCGGTGGCTCACGCCTGTAATCCTAGCACTCTGGGAGGCCAAGGTGGGTGGATCATTTGAGTTCAGGAGTTCAAAACCAGCCTGAGCAAGAGCAAGACCCTGTCTCTAAAAATAAAGAGTCCTAAATGGCATCTCCTTCCAAAATTAGGTTGTTTCATTTACATTGAAAATCTGTTATTTAGTGTAGCCACCTTCATCAATGGTCTTACCTAGAGCTTCTGGATAACTAGCTGCAGCTTCTACATCAGCAAGTCCTGCTTCACCCTACATTTTTATATTTTGGAGACATCTTCCTTAAACCTTATGAACCAACCTCTGCTAGCTTCAAACTTTTCTTCTGCATCTTCCTCACCTCTCAGTCCTCATAGAATTAAAGAGAGTTAGGGCCTTGTTCTGGATTAGGCTTTTTCTTAACAGAATGTTGAAGCTTGTTTGATCTTCTATCCAGACCACTCAAACTTTCTCCATATCAGCAATAAGGCTGTTTTGATTTCTTATTACTAATATTTATGTGTTCACTGGAGTAGCACTTTTAATTTCTTTCAAGAACTTTCCCTTTGCATTTGAAACTTGGTTAACTGGTACAAGAGGCTTATCTTTCAGCTTGTCTCAGCTTTTGACTTGCTTTCTTTACTACTTTTAATATTTTCTAGCTTTTGATTTAAAATGGGAGACATGAGAGTCTTCCTTTTACTTGACTGCTTAGAGGCCACTGTAGGGTTATTAGCTGGCCTCATTTCAATATTATTGTGTCTCAGGGCATAGGGAGGCCCAAGGAGAAGGAGGAAGCCTGAGGAGGAGAAAGATGGGGAAACAGCCAATCAGTGGAGCAGTCAGAACACACACATATTATTTATTAATTTTGTTGTCTTATATGGGTGTGGTTCATGGCACCCTGAAACAATTATAATAGTAACATCAAAGATCATTTATCATGGATCACCATAACATGTGTAATGAAAAAGTTTGAAATATTGCAAGAATTACCAAAATGTGACACAGAGACACCAAGTGAGCATGTTTAAAAAAATTTCACTGATAGACTTACTTGATGAAGAGTTGCCACAAACCTTCAATTTAAAAAAATGCATTATCTGTGAAGCACAATAAAAGGGCAAATAAGAGATATGTCTGTATAAGTCAACTTGTCTGTGCCAAGAATTGTGCTAGATGTTTTCAAATGTACTTTTTGGTTTTAGAAAATAGTATGTTTGGCTGTCAGGGAGGTCCCACATTTGAGTTAAAGGTCCCAAATCAAGTAATTAAGACCCTCTTGGTACACAAATCCAGGAGGTATCGTTCAGTCCTTTTCTTACCAGATATCCCTACAGCTCCTGACACTGCTAACCACTCCCAATCTTCTAAGAAACACTACACTCTTCTGGTTGTTTTTCCATGAGTTGGGTTTTATAAAGTATTTAGACCAATACTTGGCACTCAGAAAGTAGAATCACGTATCACTTAATGATGGGGATACATTATGAGAAATCTGTCACTAGGCGATTTCATTGTTGTACAAATATAGAGTATAGTTACACAAACTTAGATGATATAGGTCTGTAGACCTAGGCTATATGGTAGTCTATTGCTCCTAGGCTACAAATCTGTATAGTATGTTACTGTACTGAATACTGTAGACAATTGTAACAAAAATGGTAAATATTTGTGTATCTAAACATAGCAAAGGTACAGTAAAAATATGGTAAGATAATCTTATGGGACCACCATTGTATATGAAGCAGTCCAAAACATTGTTATATAGCACATGACTGTTAAGTGCTTGTTAAATATATATGTTTCTAATAGCTGTTTCTTAAGTCTACTTCATGGCTCTTCTGACTGCTAAGAAATGTCTAATTATCCTAAATTGAGATCCAGCCTTCTCATCCTACATTCATCCTTGGCAATCTCATCCATTCTATGGCATCAACCAACACCTGAGAACTCCTAAATCTGATTCTCTCATCCCAATATTTCTTTGGAGCTCCAGACCCTTATAATCCAATGGCTTATTAGATTGTTCCACTGTATCTTATGAGCATCTTCAACTCAACACCATCAAAAATTAACTCATCATTTTCTCCTAACTAATTTCTCTTCCAATATTACCCATCTTTTAAAAAATGGCACTGCATTCACCTAATCCTCCAACCCCCCAAACTGCCTACTTATCCCTGGCTACGTTTATTTTACTTAAAAAACACTCATGTAGCACTTACTATGTGACAGGCAGTGCTCTCAGCACTTTTTCTTCCTTACTTTCATCAGTCTAATTAGTTATCAAGTCTAGTTAAATCTTTAAGATAGCTGCATTCCAGACTCTGTTCATTTCCATAGCTATAGACTTACATCCACCAGAACTTACGGTTTTGGTTCTTTCTTTGACAAGTCTCTTGTCTCTCTTGCTTTCGGTTTTGGTCCCTACCAATTCATTTATCACACAGCTCCTATAATATTTCTAGAAGGCTAGTAAGATTGTTACTGTCCTGCTTAAATCCAGATAGAGAATACTCGGTCTATAGCATATACCTGCCCATCTATCATGCAATGCCATAGTTTACTTGGTGCCGAAAATGTCTTATAGGAGTGCTGGCATTTGATACTGGAGTGGCCAATAAGGCTGAAGCCCTTAGCCTAGTCTCTTCTGCTTAGCAGTATGAATACAAATTTTCTTTATGTGTCATGACACTAAAAAGATAGAAAAGCACACTGCTCTAAAAAGTCTAAATTCCTTGGTCTATTTCAGATATTCTCTACTTTTCCTTTTTGCCTCAGCTCCACCACACCTACCTATATTTACTTGTAGTTTTCTGAACTCTGTCATATACTCTATCTCCCAAGGTCCATTTCCTTTTTGCTATACAGCTCCTAATAGTCTACAGAGACAGCTCTGCTATGATATATGCAAGGAAGTATTTCTAACTTCCTACCTCCAAAGCTCCTATATACGATGTTTGTTTTCCTCAAGGCAATCAGTCTTTCCTAATACACTATAAAGAATGCCGCTTAAAAAAAAAGAATGTCCCTTTAATCTGGTTTATTCTTATTTTTACGAACAGCATATATCTGGCATATATTTGGCATTCAATAAATATTTGCTTGAATGTGCTAACTTCTGAATCAGTTTTCTTACCCATAGGAAGGTCATGTGCCATCTTCTGTTGTTTGGCAAAATTCTGAGGAGCATGTACTTTTTAAAAGTGCTAAGCCTTTACAATACAGATAGGTAAATCAAGACAATTACTACAAGAGATTTTTATGAAAACTGAAAAACTGTTCAGGTAAAATGGCCGAGGATTCAGGAAAAGTATAGGTAAGGAAACCAGCTTTTAGATATTAAGACTTGTCCGCCAATGGTCTCCGGGAGGCCTCTCCGCTGGCACGTTTGCGTTCCCATCTGAGAACTGAGTTGTCCGCACGGACCGCGCTCTGTACAGCGCTTGAGCTCACTCAGTATTTAGAATCTCCGAAACGTCTGGAGACGCACACACGGAAAGGGAAATCCGGATTCTGAGAGATCTACGTCATATCAGGGATCCCGAACTAGGCCTGGGAAAAGGGGGTAAGAGCCCCACCTCCAAGTATCGTGGTCTCTCCGGAGGTATAGAGCATCTTGCACGGGTAGAGGAACTAACCCGTCTACACCCACTTAGAGTCAGGGGGTGAGGGGGTTCCAACAACTCGACACCAGCCCAGGGAAAAGGGAATACTCGGTCCACAACTCACTTGAGACACCGGAAGTACGTCACAAGGTTCGAAAGCACTTCTGCCTCCTCTGCCGCCTCTCTAGGAAACTTGGAGGACTCACCATCTCAGTGGTTAGTTTGTGCCCAACACGTGGCTTACGTTCTCAAGCTCAAAAGCCTTCCCGGAAAGTCTTAGGCAGAAATGGCCCTTGGTATCCCGCAGCCACTCAGTCTGGGCTGACTTCTTTACTTCCCACTGAAAACACCTACCGCTTCCACCGGATCGTACCTGGCACTATGTTCCCTAGGACCCTGGTCCTCGGAGCTCCCAGATGTAAGGATCTTTCCCTGGAGCCTTCAGAGAGATTCATCAGTTTATCCCTAACTAACGCCTTCAAACACAACCAGGCCCCTGGGACGAAAGATATGGGGGCGGGAATCTAGGCACAGGCACGCTCAGAGCTGCTCCTCCTCCAAGCCCTGGTTATGTCTCTCTGAAGATGTAATACAGTTTTCAAAGCAAAAAAAGGTCCCTTGGGTCCGATATAATACCTGTAGGACACAAATTGTTCGGTTAATCTTTACTCTGCCCTGGCAGCGCTGCCACAAGGGTCAGAAGCAACAGTCAACACCCACCTGAGAAAAGCGGCAATAACAGGGACAGATGTTGGCTTGCTCTTCATTGTTTTAAATGTTTAAATAAATCAGGTCCCTCTGAATAACTTAATCACTAGCAAGTTTGGGGCTTATAGATCCCTGACTACATACCCTTCTATACTGAATTCACAGGAAGCAGTGGTGGTGATGGGAGGCCACCACTACCCCCATCCCCATCCCTTTAGTCAATGACCTTGAGGCAACTGCTGAATATGACAGCAGGGTCACCTGTAGCAGTTTGTCTTTGGCACCATGCAATGGTAAGAGGGTTCTGGCTCCACAGCCAACAAATTATGTGGATTAAATGTAATAATTTATGAAACTATTTGGCACAATATCTGGCCCTCCATTCATCCTAGCTACCTGCTTAAAATGGCTCACCCTCTGCCCTATCTCTGCAAGCTTCTGATCCAGTCAGTGCCCTATCTTCCCACTTTACAATATAAGGTCTAATACCCTACTCCATCAGTCCCAATACCACTCAGATGCTTCCATCTTGTTTGGTAAACCATTCACTTAATAGGGTCATCTTAGGTAACCAGCTATGTTAACAGTGGGTTTAATTTGGGAGGGGGTCCCTTTGTTTTGTTTTTGTAGACATTTTGTCCCACCCTTTCTTATCTAATCCAATAGATCTGTTATTGGGATTTACCCTGGTCTAGGTGGCTACTCCTAAGTTTCTAACAGCCTTTTTCATATCTGTTCTGCCTTAGCTTTCATGAGAGAACATTGTATTCTTTTTTATTTTCTGTCTCATCTTCTATCTCCTCAGTATTTTTAAATTACTGCCTGTTGCAAAAGTTATTAGTAGGGGGACCATACTTCCTGGTTTATGGCTGTTGCCTAGGTGTAATTATTAACAGCACTCCCTTTCATTCTAAAAAATGTCCCAGACGGGACAATAAATTATATAGTTACTTTATGTCTGAGAACCACTTATATGCTAGTTAAATTTTTTTGTTGTTTTTGAGACAGAGTCTCACTCTGTTGCCCGGGCTAGAGTGCCATGGTGTAAGCCTAGCTCACAGCAACCTCAAACTCCTGGGCTCAAGCGATCCTCCTGCTTCAGCCTCCCAAGTAGCGGGGACTATAGGGATGTGCCATCTTGCCCGGCTAATTTTTTCTATATATTTTTAGTTGTCCTGCTAATTTCTTTCTATTTTTAGTAGAGACGGGGGTCTCGCTCTTGCTCAGGATGGTTTTGAACTCCCGACCTTGAGCCATCCACCTGCCTCGGCCTCCCAGAGTGCTAGGATTACAGGCATAAGCCATTGCACCAGCCTATGCTAGTTAAATTAAATTCAAATTCCCAGGCCCTGCCTCAGAAACTTTCGGTAGGTTTGGAGTGGGACTCACCAGAAAACTGCACTTTAAACTAGCTATGTTAACAGTGAGCTTAACTTTTTAAATTAAATAACCCGGGTGATTCTAATGCAGGTATCCAGCGAGAAAAAGTGCTTTCATCACTGCACAGTTGGCAGTTGGTGGGCTCAAAGATACCTAAAAATCACAGTGATTTATAGACTATGCTCTTTTCTCTATTCTCCTTTTTATAGAAAGTACTAAAAAGGATGAGGAGTCAAGGGCAGTGAGACTATTTATACTGCTTAAGCCAGCAGTACCTAAAACACATGGACCCATTGAGAGATGAAGAGATTTCTAATAATTATTATGAAGATAAAGCATGTTTCTTGGGACACTCTGTATCTGCATCTAGATTTTTATTTTTCCTTCTCTTTGGTCATCATTTGTTGGCCCAATCCAGAGTTTTAGCATCTAATTTTGCCATATGAGTATTTATGTTCTCAAATTTTGTGTTTCCTTTTTCTCTTTCCATCGCATTTTTGTTGTTGCTGTTGTTTGCAGATGCCCCAAATGGGTCTCAGGGCTCCAAGTCTAAGTGTCTGTAAAACTACATGTAATCCACAACAATCTTTGTTCACAGTTGGTTTTGTTTCTAAAATTTTCAGTATGATTGAAAAACAGAAAAATCACTACAAGTGCTTGAGCACCTTGGGCTTCACTTTCCTCATGTATGTATGAAATGGGTTAAACTCCAGAAAAATCTCCTTTTAAAGCTAATATTCTCCTACCAAACAAAGACTAAAGTCATTCCAAAAGTGTTCAAGGCCCTCTCAGTCTGGTTTCTACCTACCATCTCCCACTCCTGTACCTCCTTGAAGTAACTCTGTAATTCAGACAAATTGGAAAACGCCTGGTTTTTGAGCATATCTTGGATGGACTTTGCCCCGCCTTGTTCCTTCTACCTAGAACACTTTTTTCTACCCTCTGTCTCCCTCTACAGAGAATCTTCTTTACTCTCAATTACTGGGCTCAACATTTAACCAATGACAAAGGTTTACTGGTATATATTTTATATTTCAAAACTCCTCCACAGAAAATATTTCATATGTTATAATAACTTTGACTTTAGATAGACCTTTATTTTAAAATCTCCTTGGAGATAATTTTTGTCTTTTGGAAAAAATATAAAACAATCCTCCACTATAAATTATGTTTTTTAAAGGAAAAGTATCATCAGATATACAAAATAGGAGTTATTTCCAAATACAAAATATAGACAGAGACTTGATACTCCTAGAATCCTTATTTAATCAAAATTATAGTGAAACAGAGTCTTCAGGGCTCTATCTACAGCTCTAGGCAGATTTGGTTGCAAGATTCTCAGCTATTCCTGATGTAGTATCCACTGTCTTGAACAGTGCTCAAAGGAGTGCTAGGCTCTCCTCAAGAACCAATATGGTTATTTAATTGGATTTGAATTGAAATTTCTTACACCTTGCTTAGCTGTAGAACTGTGACCACTTTTGCTCTTTCAGACTAGAATTTTTAAGAGGATAAGAAGGGGTGGATACTGGTCCAGGGAACCTGAAAGGATAGGAGAGAGCAATTTCCACAGGTTGAATAAAATGAGCCAGGATAGAAAAAAAGAAGAGAAAATGAGGGAAATTTAAAAATGTGAAAGGGAGACAGCTAAGAACTTCTAGCCAGGAAGGACTGAAATAGTTATAGAAGCAGCCAAGGTTGACATGCCATTATCTATTAGTTAAATCAAATATTATTTCTTAACTAATGAGGAAATGTACATCCTAGATTAAGAGAATTAGCACAGTAACCGAAAACAAGGGAAGTTAGTTTGGTAAACTGTCAAGTCATTTTAATCATGTTAAGCATCATTGCATTCTAAGTAGTACATCTGTCTCTACAGCATATATAATAACTTCTGTTTCTTAGTATTTTTACCAGTTGTTGAGAAAAATGAGAATTTTTGAGAAGCTATAAAAAACAAGCACAAAACAAACCAAACAGCCAATGTTCAGTTTTGGGTATAAAACTCACTGCATCCTTTAAAAGCCTGATCTGTTCATATTTTAGATCTTTTAAGTCCTGATGTAATGGAATTATCTAAACATATTGTTTCAACATATGAAGAGGCATTTAAGATACTTATGAACTCAGAATATCATAGTATATGCTTACATCATTTCATGGAATATATATTTACTTGGGAAGTTAATTTACTTCAAAGTTAATTCTACTATATTTTCCTTAACATCACTCTAAAATCCATATGTATTTCTCTTGGAAATAATTTAATTTCAAGACACAATAAAAAATACTCTTGAGGAAATTTAAGATTTTTGATAATACACACAATTAGTCACAAGTAGTTATACAAACAGTTCACTATGTTAGCTCTAGGAATTTATGACAGAAACTAATACACTACACTGAAAAACACTACTTATCATTTCTCCATTTCCCTACAGAAGAATCATGTGCAATTCTTGTTGTCCACACCTTGTTTCCTAATTCATGTCAAAGCTGTTAGCTTTTTTTTTTTTTTTTTTTTTTTTTTTTTTTTTATTTGAGACAGAGTCTCACTTTGTTGCCCAGGCTAGAGTGAGTGCCATGGCGTCAGCCTAGCTCACAGCAACCTCAAACTCCCGGGCTCGAGTGATCCTTCTGCCTCAGCCTCCCAGGTAGCTGGGACTACAGGCATGTGCCACCATGCCCGGCTAATTTTTTTTATATATATATATCAGTTGGCCAATTAATTTCTTTCTATTTATAGTAGAGACGGGGTCTCGCTCTTGCTCAGGCTGGTTTTGAACTCCTGACCTTGAGCAATCCGCCCGCCTCGGCCTCCCAAGAGCTAGGATTACAGGCGTGAGCCACAGCGCCCGGCCAAAGCTGTTAGCTTTTAAATGAAGAGAACTTCAACTCAACTGGGGAGAAGAATGAAACAGAATGTATAACATTTTAAAATAGTGATTTTTCATCCATAGGAGTTTGTTAAATAAATGGAGCACCAGCAAATGAAATACTATTCACCTATATAAAGAATAAGGAAGTTCTTTCTGTTATGATGTGAAAATTTCTAAAGATTATATGCTTTCATGAAAACAAGATGTAGAATGTATAAACAATACACCCTCTTTCTGTGTAATGGAGGAAATTAGATTATATAGTGAATTTTTTTTTCTTTTCTTCTTTCTTTTTTTTAGAGACAGGGTCTCACTGTGTCCCCCAGGCTGAAGTGCAGTGGTGCGATCATAGCTCCTCACTGTAACCTCAAACTCCTGGGATTACTTGATCCTCCCACCTCAGGCTCCCAAAGTGCTGGGATTATAAGCGTGAGCCAGGGCACCTGGGGTATATTTTCTTATGTTTACATAAAGAAACACTGAAAAATACATAAGAAACTAGTAAAATGGCTATCTATAAGGGGAAAGATGGGGACCTTTATATATTGTTTTGATTTTTGAACCAGGTAAAGAATGATCTTTTTCAAAAAGCCCTACTAAGTAAATTAAATTTTAAAAGTTAAAAATAAACGATCGCTACAAAATAAATAAAATGCTTCCAATGAAGAATGAGGAGCATCTCTCCTGGACTCCACTGTAAATTAAATGGAGGAGTTGTGCATTTATTGAAACATATATAGCAAAACCTCAATGACTTATAAATTCTTTAAGTTCCATATACTTGTAATTTCTATTTGGTGATATATTCTTCCAGCAGCTTAGTAGAAAGAGCATTGTACTAGGAATTAGGGGACAGGGTTCAATTAATAATTACAGCTCTGCTATTAAATGGCTGTATGATCTTGGTTACTTCCCAGAAACTCCTTTGCCCTATCTAGCAAATAAGGGCAGCCAGAAGTGATATGTAAGGTCCCTTAGAGTGATTCTATTATTCTTAAGTTACCCTCTCTGTTTTGAGTCTTCCAAACCAGATCGTTATCACTATACGTTTTCCATTTCTTTGCCTCCTGGGCCTAGTATAAAGCTGTGCGAAGAGTTAATCAGTGTTAAGGGAAAGAAATTTTTGTATGTATGGCAATGGTATTAATAGTAATCAATAGTGAATGCCAAGAAGTGTGGAGGTTCACAATCAACACAAAAGACTGATCATATTCTTCTCTTTATTCTTGTATATGTTTGAAATTTTCTATACAAAAAATTAAAGAAAGAAGATAAAAGGTAAAAACTGACAATGGTCATTTTATGTTATGGGAAAAATATGAAGAGCTTTATATTTTCAAAACAAAGATCTGAAGTGAGGTATCAGATTTTTAGCTAAGTTTCTTGGCCTCTGAACAAATTTAAAATCATGAGCAGTATTTGTATGATTAGCCACTGAGCTGCTAATATATGGCTGTTTCAATTACTTGGTTCCTCACTGAAGGCTAAATTACTAAAAATCTATAGGGAGAAGGGTCTTGTTCATTAATATGGGAGGATTCATTTGCCCCCTTTTGTAGGTTAAAAAGCCAATTATCCTATCTTATGTGCATGGAAAGAAGTCAGGTGGTTTACATTATAAATTTTACTACAATTATTTTAAAATTAATTTTTACATAGTCAGTGAACTGTCTTTGACATTATTTTGTACTCAGGTTGCATATAATTAAACTTTGCTTTCTTTTTTTTTTTTGACAGGTTCTCACTATGTGGCCAGGCTGGTCTCGAACTCCTGGCCTCAAGAGATCCTCTCCTATCTCGGCCTCCCAAAGTGCTGGGATTACAAGCATGAGCCATTATGCCCAGCTTATTTTTAACTTTTTAAAAAAGTTTTTAAGAACTAGAACTAGAACTATGAAAAAGTTTTCTTGAAGTACTCTAGAAAACTTTTGCACTGGTGTGTGTGAGATTAGGTATACAGCATATAAAAGGAAGTCAACACAAGAAGCCATATTCAGTATTGCAAAGCTGTGGATGTCACTGACCACAGAGAATATGACAAATGTATTTAAAATACAATGCTTTTCTCAGCAAATAAATAAGGGCATTTCCTGGCTTTCCCTGGAACTTTCTATGCTAAAGGATTAAACTATTATTGTTCTTTTAGGAACAAAGTAAGAAACAATATCCTTGCTACCTTGCTTAGTGGTCTGATGTCAGGAAATTTTGCCCTACCTGTTCCAAGGTGTTAGTTGGATTCAGCCACAGGGTGGACTTTCCGATGCTGAATGAGGTTGCAGTGGTAAATGAAGTTCTTGCCACATTCTTCACATTCATAAGGTCTCTCTCCAGTGTGAATTCTGTGATGTTTAATGAGAACAGAACGCCGACTAAAGCTCTTATTGCACTGATTACACTGGTAAGGTTTTTCCCCAGTGTGGATTCTGAGATGATGGAAAAGCCCAGCATTCTGGCTAAAGGCTTTGCCACAGATGCTGCACTGGTAGCGCTTCTCCCCAGTATGGAGTCTCTGGTGCTGGAATAAGCCTGACCGCTGGCTGAAGGCTCTCCCACACTCATCACATTCATAGGGCTTCTCACCCGTGTGAGTTCTCTGGTGCTCGATAAGGATAGAATTCTGGGTGAAGCTTTTTCCACATTCGCCACAGATATAGGGTCTGTCTGCTGAAGAGCTTCCTCGTTGCCTTTCCAATCTGCCCTCCTGGTCACAGGTGTCTCCACATTCAGGCATCTGAGTAATATCACCATTCAGTTTTCCAGAAACTTGTACAAGAGATTTTATTTCCTTAGAAATCTTCCTTTTTGGGGCTAACTCCACATTCCAAGTCCTAGCCTTGCCATCTGAAATAACGATAAATGAAAGATAACATGAAATATGAAAGATAATATTCATAACAACAGAAAAAAAATGGCCATGAGAGTAGGTAGAAAGGGACAAGCAGCCACTTTTTCTGTTTATTTTCCCACTCTAAAACAACTATACCCAGACTCAGAGAGACGATGCCCTGTATCATAACTGCTTGTTTACTTGTCTGCCTCTCCCACCAGACTGTAAACTACGTGAGATAAGGGACCGTGTCTGCCTTGCTCATTGCTGTATCCCTAGTACCTGGCACAGTGCCTGGCACATAACAGACACTAAAAAAATGTGTTGAACTGATAAACATTTAGGGAATGAGGTAGGCTCCCTAAGGAAATTCTAATCCTCACCAATCTCCTGAACCGGGCACACCTCTTGCAAGTTACATGGAAGCTGCTCCTCCAAGGTTTGGAAATGGCCACTTGATGACTCCTGAGCTGCTCCTAGACTTGCCGTCTCCTTTATGAATTCTCCCTGCTCATGAGCATGGGTCAGGACCTGGTAGAAAAAGGACAGTTGGGAACCAAATATCAGAGAGGACATTGCAAGGAGGCCTTCTCAGGGCCACTGGATAGAAAAAGAAGGACCAAGAAGTAGGCAAAGAAAAAACAGAGGCAGAGAGATTAAAAACCTACAACAAAACAAATCTGGCATAAAAAATATTCTTCCTCCTCCTCTTCCTCTTATTACACTGAAACCCCAATCTTGTTCCTATAGAAACCCCTATTCTTTCATCTGCCCACCTGTTCTCCTGGCTCGTCCAGCTCTCGCTCCAAGTCCTCCAGCACAGTCACTGCCTCCTCTCCACTCACAGGGCGGTGCTCTCTCACCCATGCCTGAAGCTCCTCAGGCAAGATGGTCAGGAACTGCTCTAGCACCAGGAGCTCCAGGATCTGCTCCTTGGTGTGCATCTCTGGTCTCAGCCATTGATGGCAGAGCTCTCGGAGTCTTCGAAGAGCCTCCCGAGGCCCAGGCGTCTCTTGATAACAGAACTGCCTGAAACGTCTACGAAAGATCTCTGTGGTATGAGAGTTATTTCTTAACAGGCCTGATTCTGGCCCACATGAATGGTCTTCTTCTTCCTTTACCTTCATTGTCAGAGGTCCCTCCTGCATCTCTGTAGTCTGAAGGGCCATGGTTGTGGCCATTCAGAAAAGAATCTAGTCTTGATAATTCCCCCTTGATCTTTTCCTCTGGAAATCCTGAGATCTAGAATATAATTGGCACAGAAGATACATATAAAAATGTGAAAAACCTCATGACAGCAGAGACTGGGAGTATTTATACTAAAAGTCACTTTTTCTCATGAAGAATATTGAATGCTTGTTAATGATGAGGACTATCCAAATACTGATGTAGGTAATATGGGAAGGAAAACAGAAATTAAACAAAAAAACTTGCAGTTTATTGAAGGAAGGGACCATTTTGATCATCCTGAATGAAATAGCTCAAATCAGTTTGAGTATACTGGGTCTCCATTTGAATGGCAAGATACTAGACTCACAGTAAGTTTTTAGTTCAGCAAAGGTAAACAAGCACTTTGGACCCAAGTGGTCATAAATAACACTGAGAATCAAGAAAAGGGAAACAAAATGGAAGATGAAGGGAAAGTAAATATAAAAAGACAGAATGAGAAACTTAACAAATGCACTTGAGAGGAGAGGCAGTGTCTTTCCAGTTAGGTGAGGTGTGGAGTAAAGAGATCTACGTTTGAAGTGTGGAAGGTCTAGGATTAAGACATGATCCTCCAGGTACTCCCTCCAAAGTCTTGGACTTCATGTTTTGAGCCTTACCCTCCTAAATCTATAAAATAGGAATTCTAAAGCCAACACTGACTATCTTTCTGGGTTGATATAAAGATAAAATGAGGCCGGATGCAGTGGCTCACGCCTGTAATCCTAGCACTCTGGGAGGCTGAGGTGGGTGGATCGTTCAAGGTCAAGAGTTCTAAACCAGCCTCAGCAAGAGCGAATCCCAGTCTCTGCTAAAAATAGAAAGAAATTAATTGGCCAACTAAAAAAATATATATAGAAAAAAATTAGCTGGGCATGGTGTCATGAGCTACCAGGTGGCTGACTTCTGAGTAGTCCCAGCCACTCAGAAGGCTGAGGCAGAAGGATTGCTTGGGCCCAGGACTTTGGAGTTGCTGTGAGCTAGACTGACTCCACGGCACTCAAGCCCAAGCAACAGAATGAGACTCTGTCTCAAAAAAAAAAAAAAAAAGATAAAATGAGATCATGGATAAAGAACACAAAGAAGCTGCCAGATTAGTAAACTCTAAAGTATTATAAATTACCACTATTATTTTTCTTATAAATGTTCTTGAAAGATTAAATGAATATCCTAGTGATCTATGCACTAAGGCAAAAGAATCAGAAAGCAGTTGACTGCAGTGGTCTTGGCCCAAAGACATTAAAATGAAAGAAATATTAGTTCTAATACTTTAAAACAGGAATAGAATTTGAGCTTTTTCTTATTCTTTAATTTTCTCAAAACTCTCTTTGAAGCATCTTGAAGGTACAGAGTAGACAATTTTATGTAAAATAAAATTACTGCTGAGGCAAATGTCCATGACCACTTAAAGTTTATGAACAATCTTAACTAGGATAGCAATTAATGAAGGCAATTTTCTGAAAGAAAGATAATTATGTGACCTAGTGACCATATTAATCTAACTTTTCTTCTAATTGTAATGTGATCAGTGTTCACATAAGATTTAAATACCCTATTCTTTTTTTATTTTTTTTATTTTTTTTTTATTTTGGCATATTATGGGGGTACAGATTTTAAGGTTTCAATAAATGCCCATTTCCCCCCCTCCCCCCAAAAGTCTGAGTCTCCATCATGACCATCCCCCAGATGGTGCACATCTCACTCATTATGTATGTATATACCCACCCCCCTCCCCCCTCCCCCCACCCACCTGCCCAATACCCTATTACTGTAAATACCCTATTCTTAATTATTTAATTTAATGATGTATGTCAACACCCCAGATTAGGTTAATTTTTGCAGTGAATTACTATAATTTTTTTTCTTAAAATCAAAACAAAAGCATTTTTAATCTACAAGTCATGATTCATTCGTGGGTCATAAAATCTGTGTGGTGGGATGTGACCAGGTTTTGGGGGATTTTTAAAAATGATATAGGATTTAAAAAATAATAGTATGTCACATAAAGTAAGGATACATAATGTTTTGTGAAATTATTTCAATTATTTGTGTGTGTAGCTCATACATGTTCAAGTATACATTAATATACATGTGTATGTGTGTTCTGGGTTATAATATAAAATATTTCTTACTGAGGGTCCTGGTCAAAAAAGTTTGAAAGCCTCTGCCCAAAAGTGTTAGTTATCACTAGGTCACATAATTATCAAAGGGGAAAAACTACTAGGGTAAGACAACATCCTTTTGGATAACCTGTAACATAATCTTCTCCACAAATTTAAATATATATATATATTTAGCTCTACGTGGGGAATGGAGGGGACAGAATGAGGAATGGGGACAAGTGGTGATAAATGCCATAGAGAAAATAAAGGTAAAGGAGATAGGGAGTAAGGGGGAAGAAAGGTTGCCATTTTATGTAGTCAGGGAAGGCCTTGTTGGTAAGGTAATAGTTGAGCAGACCTGAAGGGAGTGAGAAGCAAGTCATCCGGCTATCTGCAGAAAAATTCAGAATATGTGCTTCTCATATTACTCAATAAACCCACCCCGGGTTCAAAGGATTAAACAGCCACTCACATTTTCTTTCTTGTTTTTTTCAATCTTTCAGGCTTCTACAAAATGTTTTTTTTCCCTATTTGCCACCTATTACACTTGGTTTCAAGTTAAAGTTTTTCCATTCACAAACAATGCAGCTGAAGCTCTGAGCTCTGCCCATAGAAGATCATTTCAGGTATGTGTTGTTAGACATTTTCTGGTATGTGTTGTTCAAATCTTTACTCAGTTTCATGAAATTCAATTTCCCTTTATTCTCTGTATATACTAGGTTTCATTTTTGTTTGTTTTTTGCTTTCCTTCACCTGATTTTGCATTTATCTGGTAGTCCAAATAACCAGATCCTTGTACCAGCACATCTTAGTTTTTCTTTGAAGACTGCTTCCCAATTTTTTTCACAATCCTGCCCTTCTGGTCACAAATGTAGTTACTAATCTGCCATTCAGCATCACAACCTTAATGTTTATGCCAGCTATATAATTAGCATAATAGTCTCCTCTACCTTAAAAAATACATCTGCTTTTTTTTTTTTTTTTTGAGACAGAGTCTTGCTTTGTTGCCCAGGCTAGAGTGAGTGCCATGGCATCAGCCTAGCTCACAGCAACCTCAAACTCCTGGGCTCAAGCAATCCTCCTGCCTCATCTGCATTTTAAAGATGGTTTCTCCTAGAGCCTCAGCAAGCTTAACACCCCAAATCTACCATTGTCCTCATGGAGAAGTATTCTTTACCCAGGATATGCATGTCGGATAAGACTAAGCAACGTACAATACAAATGTGCCTTTAACATAATACATCCTCCTACACTTACCTCTGCTGTTACCATCTATGGCTCTCCACTTACTAAATAAATTTCCAAACTCTCACGCCTGGCTTAAGACCAGTCAGACCTCTAGCTTCCATTGGTTTCACTATTGCTTTCCTCTATTCCACATGCAAAAACTGTCCGGTCCAGTCAGGCTTTCCTTCTCACTGTTCTTTAATCACGCTTCTCTCATCCTTGTGCCATGTCCTTGCTCTTGCCTTCTGCCTTTACTCAAACCCTACCCAATCTCTGCAGCTTGATTTAAATTTCACATCCTTTCTGAAGTCCTCTTCATTTGTTTTGGCTTGCCCTCTTCCTCCTGCCAGCTCTTATTTAATATACTATAGGAGCCTTACTTTTTACCCTCACTTCAATCTTATACTGTTACTTTTCTTTACAACTATTTTTTTGAAATCTCAAAAGTACAGAGGAATATAGAATTCCTTCACCAAGTTCTACTCCCAGAATAGTGTATTGAAGATTGGAATGTATCCTTTCATTTTTTATGCATTTGCAATCATACACCTAGATGCACACAAATACACAGAGATGATAAAAATCCTATTTTTCTATTTATCTGAAATAAGTAGAAGGTAGTATGAGGTGGCAGAGAACCCAGACAAGCAGATCTAACTGCAAATTCTGACTTACTAACAAAGTGATATAGGGCAAGTGACTTGATTGATAATTTTCCAAGCTTCAAACTCATGTATGAAATGAAGACAACAACAACTACCTTGCAGCCATGCCTAATTCTAGCACTCTGGGAGGATCGCTTGAGGTCAGGAGTTCGAGACCAGCCTGAGCAAGAGCAAGACCCTGTCTCTACTAAAAACAGAAAATTAGTCTGGTGTCATGGTGTGTGCCTGTAGTCCCAGTTACTTGGGAGGCTGAGGCAGGAGGATCACTTGAGCCCAGGAGTTTGAGATTGCTGTGAGGTGGTCTGACACCATGGCACTCTAGCCTGGGAAACAGAGCAAGACTCTCTTTCAAAAACAAACAAACAAACAAAAAAAAAAACTACCTCGCAAAGTTGTTGAGAATATTAAGTAAGATAATGCATTTAAAGTGATTTTACAAATAAATAAATAAATAAAGTGGTTTTACACAAAACCTGGCACATAAACATACACATTAACCTTTTAATGAGATAATGTACAATTTAGGTATAATGGTGGCTTAATCAATAGTTGCTACCTTCTTTTAGGGCCAGGACTGTAATCTTTTCTATTGTCCAAAGAACAATATGGGTAGATGAGTGGGGAAACACATGCACACAAGCAAATAGAATGGCTATTTCATCAGGTTTGCGGACACACTGACAGATGTATACGTCTTCAGATACTCCTCTTCAACCGTAAATCCTACTAGAAGCCCAGGACTACTAAGGTCCGAAAGAAAGACTGGATTCAAATGAGAAAAGTAACCTCCTGGGTTGCGGCTGTAAAGCTAACACAGAAACAAGAGAGTGCAGCTAGCATAGCAAAGGTTTTAAGAAAATGGGCTTTGGGGCCAAACTGCCTGGATTTGACTACACCCTTTATCAGCTGTATGACCTTACTTCTTGGATGTTAAAAAGAGAAGGTACAGTCTACATAATAACAGTGCCTACCTCATAGAGTTATGAGAAGAAATACTTGGAAAGTGCTTAGACCAGCACCTGTCTGACAATACCATGTTTCCCTGAAAATAAGACCTACCCATAAAATAAGCCCTAGCAGGATTTCTAAGCATTTGCACAATGTAAACCCTACCCCAAAAATGAGACCTAGTGATGGGCATTGCTATGCAGTGTATGCACAACCCATGCATTTCCTGGCGGAGCAGTAAAGAAGATGAGCAGCCCTTCTCACCCACCCCATGAGAGCTCTATTGCTCAACATGAGCGATTGGGGCCAATGGTTCTAAAGGAAATAGAGTCACAAGAAATTCAGGATGGAATTCGGGGTTTGGATTGTTATGATGATGTTCCAGAAGAAGATGACTTAACTATATTTGAATAAATGTAGATTGTTGTGCCGTACTTAAAAAAAATAACATATCCCCTGAAAATAAGCCCTAGGGTGTCTTCTTGAGGAAAAATAAACATAAGACCCTGTCTTATTTTCGGGGAAACATGGTAGTACATGCTATTTAAATATTCATACAAAAAAATCAACAGATAGCAAAAGCCTTTATACTATGTGAATGAGACTAAATATGAATCAGAATAAGATGCTGTGGCATATTTTAAAACTATCCCTGCTCATTGTTTCAAGTCCATAGTTGAGAATAAGACATGGGAAAATACAAACATCCCTCTATATCGCATCTATTCGGATGAGATGCGAATAGGGAAGAGTTTACAGGGCCACCAGTATTAGGGCAGAGAGGTTGAAAAGCTCAGGAGTAGAGATGGGGTGGGGGCGGTAAGGGTAGGGAGCAAGGACACTGACTTTTAGTCAACAAGGCCCTTCCAGGCTCCGGAGCAGCCTCCTCTGCCCCTCACCTGCCCGGCCAACCTCTGGCCAAGAAGCCCTCGCTGCCAACTCCCCACAGCCAGTCCGGGGTCTCAGCGCACAGACCCGCCCTTCCGAAGACCCTCAGCAGTAGCCCGAATCCGAAGCTCACCGAGGCATCAGTGAGAGAAAAAGCCACGTAACCCAGATCACATCACCTCTGTATCATTGGCAACCGCAGCCCAGAGAACGATAGACTACAAAGGCCGGAAGTGCGTTATAATAGCGAGCTCACGGCGGCGCATGCGTTCCTTCTAGGAAGCCCGGAGGTTCCCACACCTCTGTGGTCGCCACGCTGACTCCCCTCTCCAGGTGTAGTGAGGTGCTAGAAGGCACATTCTCTTCCAGGGGCAATACAATAATAGCTAACATAGTGCTTTATACATATTAATTTATTTTCTCTGCATAACAAGCCTGTAAGTTAGGTACAGTTATCTCCATTTAACAGATGGGGAAACTAAGGCACATTCCTTCTACATTTATCACTTGTCATTCCCTACAAGGAAAACTTTTCCTTTGCTCTCTCTCATTTTATCATGATAAACTCATGTGTTCTTTTAAAATTCAATGTTATAAACAGTTACTGTCAGTATTATTTTGATGGTCAAATTTGCTCAGTTGGAGCCCTTTCAAACTGGCTTCTATATCCTTCAGTAAGTCCCCAACAGTTTTTGTGGAGTTTACTTTCTCACACAAGATATTTCAGGCTCATTTAATACTTTCTTACCCTAGACTTGAAATCGTCATTGCTCCATGAAGCCACAGTTCTTATTAGTTGAGACTGGTTTACAGAAACCAAGATCTGGATTTGGGGCAGTGGATAAGCTCATTGCTAATGGGATATATCATTGCTTCTAGGCCCTGTCAGTAGACAAGAGCTGGAGTATATACGATGAGGATTTTACAGGATACCTTCTATTAAAAAATAACCCAACAGAATTGTTTTTTATTTTCACCACCACATATTTGTTTTTCCTTTTTCCCACAGTAAAAACCCTGGCTCCTAACAGCATCAATATAGTCACTCAATTCACTCTAACTTATAAACAAAATAGTTTCAAAATTACAATATTAGTATATCACTAGCAGCAACATACCTGTTATGTAGAATTCAAATTTCTTTGTTTTATTTGTTCTTGAATTATATCCTATTAAGGAGTATAGTCAGAGTATTGTATACATACAATATTTGAATTAATTCTTTTCTCTGTATGGTTATATTATAAACTTGATATATAGTTAGGATCATTTGTTTTTGTTTGTATTCAATTTCAGGGTTTGCTTTTCGTTCATTCCTTTTCAATTTTTTTTAAATACAAAACATTTACTTAGTTCAAAATCAACATTATATATGAAGGTATATTCTGAGTTTTGCTTCCATCCCTCATCCCTTTACTATATATATATATATATATATATATATGTATGTATTCATATCTCATTTTCATTAGTGTTTTATTTATCCTCTCCATCTTTCCTTCCTTCTTCCCTTATCCCTTCCCTGCCTTTTCTTTTTTCTTGCAAAAATAAGAATTTATCTCCTTTACCCCTGTAAGTTGTTATATACACTCTTTCACATCTTGCTTTATCATTTAACAGAAAATTCTGGACATTATTCTAAATCTGTTCATAGAAATAGTCTTTGTTTTTCACACTCGTATAATAATTCATAATGTGGATGTACCATCATTTTTTTCTACAGGCCTCATAGTGATGGATATTTGGGTTCTTTCCAATATTTTATTTTAACAAATAATGCTGCAGTGAGCAATAAGAGAGAAAGAAGAGAGAGGAGAGAAAGGAAGGTCTTTGTAGTTTTATCATTTTGTACTCTCAACGGCAAAGTGTGAGAGTGCTTGTTTTCATGCAGCCTCATGAACTGCATGTTTCCAGGCTTTTGAATTTCAGCAATAGGTCTTTGGGTATTTCTCAAAGAACCACACACCCAATGCTGAAATCCCTGCTAAAAATGGCTTCACAATGCCAAATGTTAGTGAGGATTATGAAGCAATGGAAATTTTCATACACTGTGAGAGTATAAATTGGTGAAACCATTTTTGGAAAACTCTGGCATATCTTCTAAAGTTAAATATATACATATTCTATTACCCAGCCACCAGAAATGTCTATATGCTCATATTGAAAGATATGTCTTAGCAGCATTTTTCTGTGATAGCTTTAAACTGGACAAACCCTAATGTCCATTAACAGTAGGATAGATACAAAATTTAAAGTTTATTGATACAGTGGAATATTATGCAACAATGAAAACAAATGAATGACAGCTACAAATCACACTGACAATTTTCACAAACATAATAATGAGTGAAAGAAGCCAGACATTAAAAAAAACACATACTTCATGATTTCATTTACATAAAGAACTAACATCTGATGTTAGAAGTCACAACAAGGAGAAGGAAAGGAAAATTTAGGAGGGAGCACAAGTGGGGCCTTCTGGAACACTAGCAATGGTTTTATTTCTTGACCTTGGTGGTGGTTATGTATTTACCATTATTACAGTTGCCTATGGTATTCAGTACAGTACCATGCCTTACAGGTTTGTAGCCTAGGAGCAATAGGCCATACCATATAACCTAGGTGTGTAGTAGGCTGTATCTAGATTTGGTTTCATTTTATGATATTTTATTTACCGGTACACATATGCTTCCTGTATTTTTAATTATATTCATACTTCCATAATTTTTTTTTTAAAGTTAAACCATTTTACAGTTGAAGAAACCAAAGCTCAGAGAAGTGAAGTGTGTTGCTGAGGTCAGCCAAGCTAGACTCAAATCCAGGTTCCTGATCAGCTAGCTCCTTTGGCTTTGATGGGTGAGTTAGCCATATGGATATCAAAGGGGCCATTTCTTTGGTTGCAATGTTAACATAGTGTCCATTAGACAAAAAACATGTATGACAATCTTCTTACTCAACTATCCCACCTTATGTGAAACATATCCCAAATAGAGGTAGAGATGGCCTTATATACAGGTCATGCACTGCACATAATGACTTTTTGGTCAGTGATGGACTACATGTATGACCATGGTCCCACAGAATTATAATGGAGCTGCCCTATATAGATGTATTATTTTAGAATCTTTTATACCATATTTTTACTGTAACTTTTCTATGTTTAGATACCCAAATACTTACCTTTATTACACTTGCCTACGGTATTCAGTACAGTAGCATACCGTACAGGTTTGTTGCCTAGAAGCAATAGGCATACCATGTAGCCTACGTCTGTAGGAAGCTGTATCTAGGTGTGTGTAAGTACATTCTATGATGTTCAAACAACAAAATTGCTTAATGACGCATTTCTCAGAACATATTGCTGTTACTGACACATGACTGTATACATATCTAAAGCCTAAATTGACCTAAAATTATTATAAAAGCCACAAGATAATAAATATAGTTACAATGAAACATGGAGCATTTTAAAAATAAGAGTGATTAATAAAAATAGAACAGATCAGAAAATTCTAAATACACTGACAAAAATGACATATTTATTTATCAATCTCTCTAAATAGACAATGTGAAGAAATAAAAGTAATTCTTAAATTAGGGAGGTAGGATTCTAGGGGGATTTTTTTTTTTTTTAAATATCTTTTGGGCCCATGCTTATAACCCTAGCACTCTGGGAGGCCCAGGAGGATCACTTGAGCTCAGGAGTTCCATACAAGTCTGAGCAAGAGCAAGACACCATCTCTAAAAAAAAAAAAAAAATAGAAAAATTAGCCAGGTATGGAGATGAGCACCTGTAGTCCCAGCTACTTGGGAGGCTGAGACAGGAGGATTGCTTGAGCCCAGTTTGAGGTTGCAGTGACCTATGATGACACCATTACACTCTAGCCAGGGCAACAGAGAGAGACTCTGTCTCCAAAAAAAAAAAAAAAAAATTTTTAAAAAGTCTTCTGACACCATTTAAAAATGGATTTAAACTATATCTTTTTCACAAAGATTTTTAATACTATTATTATTATTAAAGGAAGCTTGGTAAGGTAAGAGACCTCTAACTCAGGGGTTTTTTCCATTCTTATTCCTCACTTCCTCTTTTCCTTCTCCTTGCTTTATCGCCACCTTCCTCTTAATATCCACGAGAAGAACCATTGTATTTCCTAGTTCTGATTGTGTTCCTTGCACCTCTTATCATCATTCATTCATCTGTCCACTGATCTTTCAGCACACATTTATTAAGGGTTGGTACCTGCACTTTGGAACTTAAAATGTCATACCTTTATTTGGGACTGGGGCAGAAACTGTTGTTTGTCTACTAAATAAGTATTCTCTCCCTTTTATCAAATAATAATTCCAATCTTTATGTGTGTACATTGGCACCTGAAACAAAGATTACATTTCTCAGTTATCCTTGCAGCCAAGTGTGGTCATGTGAACAAGTTCTGGATATAAGAGGAAATGTATACATTCTGAGAAGTCTCCTTGAACAATGCTGACTTAGCTGGGAGAGTCCCTTTTTTGCCCTTCCTGCTGATTGGAATGCAGAATTGATGGCCAGTGCTTCAGCAGCCAAGGGAAGAGAAGCTAGGTACAAAGGATGGTGACAAGGTGGAAGGGACCTGGATCCCTGGTGAATCCATAGAGCAAAAACAACAACCTCAAACTGTCTACTTTTATACCTCTTTTACGTGAAAGGACTATACACATTGTGTATTTTTCAGACTTTTGTTACTAACAGCTAATCATAAATTCTGATATAGGGTTCTAAGCTTTGACTCCCTAATTAGAATTTTTCCTCCTTTTTTCTTAAATGTGACCCCCGAATCTCTGATTGAACCCAGTGTTTCTGCTTCCTCCCCACAAGCACTAATATCAAGGAAACACAAGTTTGGGGAGGGGATGGGAAATCAGAAAGAAATGATGCTTACAATATAGAAGGAATGTAGGTGATCAGAAAAAAAAAAGGAAGAGAAAGAGAAAAGAAAAAGGAGAGGTGAATAAAAGAGAGAAAAACTGCAGAAAAGAATAAGAGAGAAGATGCAGAAGTGGCATTGCATTGAATGGTTCACCAGACATTCAGTTAATTATGCCCAAAACACCATCGTCATCCCAGAGTCTTAAGTTTCTGTAGCTCAAGTTACCCTTCAAGGCTGTCACATTTGGAAATTTAATCTCTCCCTTAGAAATCTAGAGGAAGTTCAAGGTCTGTCCACTTGTCAGTAGCTGGCTAATCATATCAAAATGATAGCTCTATTATTAACAGACAGTAATATTAGACTCAATGGAAATGATAGCTAATGTCCTCAAAGTCACTCAGTCCCTGAAATCAACTGTCATATGGGAGCCATGGAGGGTATTTCTGATTCAAGCATCCCAGGATATACTGTACTCTTATTTACCTGTGGCTTTTCCTGCCTTGAGCTTTGCTACTTGTCTTCTGGTCCAGTGAAGTTTCTAAATTATCTTTTGATTTACATCACACTCCACTCTTTGTTTTGGGAGGATCTCAGCATTCGTCTCCATGTCCAGCTCATTTTATTTTTCTCTGCACTAGCATAAAGTAAAGATGCTTGAACAAGTACTTTCTCTTGGGACTGTCCTACCTGCATGTATAGTGCACAGTTGCATCAGCAAAAAGGAGTTTCTTCTGACTCCCTTTACAGTCTGGTATGCTTGGGTCAGCATCACAGGCTGCCTCCTCAGGTAGAGTGACCAGTGCCTCCTTGAGCACTAGCTTTTCCCGGATATCCCCAGAAAGGGATTGTCCTTCTGTTCTTCAAGGAGAAGTATCTTATTTTAGAAAGTAAACTCAATGTCACCAAGTTAACTGAAGGCACACAGGCAAACCTTCCTGGCCTCTTACAGGTAGGAGCCCAACGAGGTCACTAATATTAACATATAGCCCAAGCCCATCTATAGTGACACATTAGGGGTACTGCTACACAACCTCTGAGAGGTTCAGCATTCAGAAAGCTTATTTATTCTAAATGGGTTATGGTAAGACATATATATAATCTGGTGGAGAAACAGCAAAGAGGGAAGGCATTCAGGGTATGAAGGGGGAGGAATGAAAGACAAAGACATGGAAGCTTGAGTATACACAGGATGGCTGGGAAGGTAAGATTAATGTAATAGGAGCACAGAGCTCATGTCAGGTAGTAAGGGAAAATAACATCTGAAATACTAAAACCAATTTGCCGAGGGGGCTCTTGAATGTCAAGCTGAGGAATAAAATATAGAGGTATAATGGCATTCACAAAAATCAACCGTAGAGGTGGAAGAGACCTTAGAGAGATTATATATCTGATCCTGTAATTCACAGATGAGGAATCTAAGACTAAGAAAGTGGGCAATATGCCTAAGGTCACACAGTAGCTTAGTGGATGATGGAACCTAGTACTCTTTCTTCACCCTCACTCATATCAACCGCCTTTTAAAACTACGTCTCAGATAAGTTATTACGGTATTAACCTCAACACATTTCTAAAGCAAAGGAAGAAAAAGGAAGAAAAGTAATGCCTTACATTTAACTATTCACTTGAGAAGTGCTGTACTTTCAACTCTGGGTTATGGATGTGCATTTTTCTCTAAATTGGATTTAATTGTGAATAGGGTAAAATCGGTCACCCTGAAGCTTTACATTTTTAACTAGCCATCCCTGATGCCTAGAAATAGAAAATCTGGCTTAGTTCACCCTGAGAGAAAGAATTTAGTCTGTGGATACTGTCACGTCAGAGGAGACTGAGATAGTAACAGACAATGAGAATACTCACGTGGCTTCTCTGAAGTCTGCAGGAACAAGTGCTGCTTAACATTTTTACTACGATAATTAAAGTGAGGTGATTTTGATTAGTTGTGTTTTTTTTTAATGTTGAAAGAGACTTGACTCCTGTTTGAAAGATTTTTCACACTTATGACACATAAAGTGTTTTTCTCTGTTGTGGATTCTCTGATGAGATGTGAGCTTAGAAAGAAGGCCTTCCTACATTCATCACATTCATAAGGTTTTTCTTGTAATACATTTCAAAATTATAGATAGTGTAATGCCTTCAGCTTTGCTCTTCTTGCTCAGGAATGCTTTGGCTATTCAGGCTCTTTTTTGGTTCCATACAAATCTTAGGATTGGTTTTTCTATTCTTTGAAAAATGTTATCGGTATTTTAGTAGGGATTTCATTGAATCTATATATTTCTTTGGTAGTATGGTCATATTTTAGCAATATTAATTCTTCCAATCCATGAGCATAGGATGTCTTTCTATTTGTTGGTGTCCTCCAATTTCTTTCATCAATGCTATGTAGTTTTTCTAGTAGAAGTCTTTCACCTCCTTGGTTAAATTTATTCCTGGTTTTTTTTTTTTTTTTTTGGTAGCTATTATGAATGGTATTGATTTCTTGATTTCTTTTTCAGGTAGTTCATTATTGGTGTATAGAAATGCTATGGATTTTTGTATGTTGATTTGTGCCCTGCCACTTTACTGAAGTTGTTATCGAATCTAAGAGTTTTTGGTGGAGTCTTTAGGTTTTTCTAAATATAAGGTCATGTCATCTGGAAAGAGGGACAATTTGATGTCCTCTTTTCCAATTTGGATGCCTTTTATTTCTTTCTCTTATCTGATTTCTCCAGCTAGGACTTCCAATACTGTGTTGAATAGGAGTGATGAAAGTGGGAGTCCTTATCTAGTTCCAGTTCTTAGAGGAAAAGCTTTTAGCTTTTCCCCATTCAGTATGATGTTAGTGGTGGGTTTGTCATATATACAGCCTTTACTATGCTGAGGCATATTCCTTTTGTGCCTAATTTGTTCAGCATTTTTATCATAAAGGAATGTTAAATTTTATCATATGCTTTTTCTGCATTTATTGAGATG